ATCTTTGGTGACCTTTGAGACTGAGCTCAAGGATGGCAACTGGAGATGGGTCTATGCCTGGGCAAACGCCTCAGGAGACTCCTCATGGTTCTCCTTATGGATCTCCCCATGGACAAGCTCAACCAGCTGGACTACCTCAAGGCTTTCAAGCTGCTGCACAAGGTCCTCAAGGGACAGGGTCTACCGAGATGGTTGAATTGGCCCGCATGGTTGCAACAGCAGCTACAGCAGCTACAGCCGCAGCAGAAGCTGCACGAGCAGCGTCCCAAGCCTCTGCATCAACTGGTGATCGCAAGAAAGACCTCTACCGCCTGATCCCCAAGCCAGCCAACTTCGCTCCAGCTGACCGAGACCAAGCAGTCAGTGGCGTGATTGGTACTGGTCCTTCAAGCAGTACTTGCTGGTAGTGGATGGAAAATTCGAGGATGACTTAAAGTACGTTGAGAGGTCAGACATAGATGAGGCGGATTGGGATCTGTTGGATGCTGATGAGCAGCACCGTGGACGTTTCATGTACTCCCTGCTGAGCACTTTGCTACAAGGGAGGCTACTTAGCCTGGTGAGGAGCGTGGACAATAGCAATGGCCTTGAAGCTTTGAGACAGCTCCTGAGGAATTGTCAGCCTCATGCCAGGAACCGCACAATGGCGATGCTTCAGAGCTTGATGGCCTATCCATCTTTTTCAATGAAGAGCTCTATCATGGCCCAGGTTGTGCGCTTGGAAGAGAGCTTCAGTCAGTTCGAGAAGATGGGCGGCAAGATGACAGACGAGATGAAGGCGGCGGTTCTCCTCAAGTGCATCTCAGGACCTTTGAAAGTTCATCTGAACTTAGCCCTGAATGAGTCAGCAGACTATGCAAAGATTCGAGAGATGATCCAGTCCTACGACACTGCAACTACGAAGTGGTCTGATTCCACTACTTTGCTTCCACCTCAGCCCCTTGGTGACTCTACTGGTGTGGCGCCTATGGAGATCGACCGGGTGAAGGGTGGCAAGCAGAATGGTAAAGGCAAGCAGAAAGGAAAGGATGGCAGTAAAGGGAAGTCGAAAGGAGGCAAGGACCTGAAGGGCAAAGGCAAGAACCTTCAAGGGCAATGGACTTCATCGACTTCATCATGGACATCCCCATCAAAGAGCAGTGGCAAGGGCGATCAGAAGTCTTCAATAGACAAGGGCAAGGGCAAAACAAAGGGCAAAGATGCAGGTCTGTGCTACAACTGTGGTCGTCCAGGCCACCATGCCAAAGACTGCTGGCGTATCCGGCAGGTTGGAAGTCCAGAGGCTTCAGCGACAGTGCTGACCACTGCAACTGGACAGGAAAGTGTTGGACCATCTGCTTCACAAGCTCCAGCAGTGAAGCGAGTGACTATGAGTGCAGCTGGAGGATCCGTGGCATCTCCCGTGGTCTTCGATCTGAGGAGTTCTGGGTCTTCGTCCAGTTGGCAAGATGTGAGGATGGTGAAGTTTTACTACATCGATGAGGAGATGGATGAGATCCCATCGATTCGAAGCACGACCTACATGGAGGAGGAGCATGCCAAGGACTACAACTTCAACACTGAGGAGGTGAGCATCATCATTGACTCTGGTGCTGATGCTCCTGTGTTTCCATCTTCGATGATTCATTGTGGACGAGATCACAGTGGTCAAGAAGTTGCTCTACAAGATGCACAAGGGCGACAAATCCCAGTTTTGGGGCAGAAGGCTGTGTCTGTACTTCTGCAGGATGCCAGTGGAACTGAGATTGAGCTCCAGGACAACGTCGTTTTCTCGAGCGAGATCAGCCAGCCGATACTGAGCTATGGCCGGCTTATGAATGCTGGGTGGAGCATCTGTGCAGAACATCGATGCCTGAAGAACGGCAACTACGAGATCCCTCTTGAGTTCCAGAACAACAGCCTGGTGGTGAAAGGCCATGTACGGTCTGTCGATGTGGTGCCATGCTCAATTCGAGCGCTGAAGGCAGAGCTATCTGCTGGTCTTCAAGGGTACGTGGAAAACACCTTTGGTTGGAGCAAGGAAGGCAACAGGTGGATTGGAGTTCACTTAGCCAACCAGTACCAGAACCCCTTGTTTGTGCCCAACATCGACTATACCACTGACTGGTGCAGGACAACCCTCATCAAGAAAGGCCAATCATGGCTTATGGTGGAGTTTTGCGAACGAGTTTCAGAAATGCTGGACTCCGAGCTCTACATAGAGGAGACAGCTGGGCGCACCAACGTGGTGACCTTTCTGACTGATGGCTTTGAGGACGTGGAGGCAATGGGTTTTGAAGTGGCAGGTGGACTTGCAAGAGAAGAATGGGAAGCTCTTGAACAAGAGCTACAACCTCTCCTGGACATCCCAGAAGATCGTGAGCTTGAGCAACGAGAAGTTGAAGATGCAGAGCAGCAAGAACTACGTGCTCATGCTGGAGATGTTCATGCTGGAGGAGATCTACAGCCTGGTGATGATGGACAAGTTCAAGATCTACCACTTCAACCTGCCATTCCACAAGAGGGCCACATCGTGATTGGAGAGGTGATCCCAGCTCAGATTGAGGTGAACGGTCAAGTTTTGACTGCTGGAAGCACCTTGGCAACTCTTCGAGCTGCGTGCACTTTCTACAAAGTGAGCAGGTCTGGCAGCAAGATGAAGTGCTACCATCGACTATGTCAACATCAGAAGGAGCTTGAGCTACTGATGGCGCAGTCTGCAATTGCGCAAGCTGAAGGTGTGGCTGAGCGGCATCCAAACGCTCAACGCTTGGTGAAGCCTCCAGAAGCTCATGAGCAAGAACTTCATGCCCTCACCCACACACCTTATGCTCCTTGGTGTTCTTCCTGCTTGAAACACCGTGCTCGTCCTGATCAACACAAAAGGACGGGAGAAGCACACGACACTCCAATTCCGGTGATCTCCATGGACTTTGCCATCACCAAGAAGAAGGAGGGATTGGACCCACATCCCGAAGGAGAAGTAGATGACAAAGGAGCTCTATGGCTTGTTCTCACTGACAGCCATACTGGCTACTTGGGTGTGGTGCCAATCCAGTCAAAAGGCCAGCTCAACTACATGACCCATGAGGTTCTCAGCTTTGTGCAGGGCCTTGGCTATGCAGAAGTTGGCTTCTATGGTGACAACGAGCCAACCATTCGCCAGATCCTCAAGACGATCATCACTTCGAGGCATGCTCTTGGTCTGAAAACGAGGATCTACACCACGAAGGTGAAGGACTCTGCTGGGAATGCCCTGGTTGAGAACAGCATCCAGAGGATTCGTCAACTGGCATGCACGCTCATGGAGGATGTTTGTGAATGCACTGGATTGGTGTTTCCTTGCGAGCATGCTTTGTGGAGTTGGGCTGGGAGACACGCTGCATGGTGTCTGAACAGATTCCAGGTGGGCAAATCTATGACTTCTTATGAAGTTACCCATGGCAAGCGCTACAATGGGAAGACAGCTTGCTTCGCTGAGCCAGTCTACGCCTATTGCAAGGGCCGTGGAAAGGCAGATGCAAAATGGCGTGTTGGCCTGATGCTTGGGAAAACGGAAGCCCAGGATGCCTGGATCATAGGTGATGGTGTTGACGTGATGCTGAGCCGCAGCATCAGGAGGGTGGACCAGCCGTGGAGCCGCTTTTTGGCCTACTACTCTGGTCTCCAAACCCACAGCTTTGTCTACCAGACCAACTTTGGTGGAAGGATTGTTCCAACGAAAAGGAAGATCACGCCACAGAAGCAAGAAGGGCGACTTCTACCAAAGATGAGTGAAGTGGAAAGAAGGTTTGCTGATGAGGAGGCGAATGCTGTGCTGGCCTACGCAAGATCACGTGAAGGACGATTGGAGGCTCAGAGAGAGGTGAAAGAAGCTCTTGCTGAACTACCAGATCAACCACCTCCTGGAGTTGCAGTTCAAGTTGAAGAACCACCACAACTTCCAGCTCAAGTTCAAGGAGATTCACAAATGTCTTCAACTCCGGGGCAACCATCCAATGCAGCACTACTTGCACAACCTTCCTCTCCCAGAATGTCTTCTACGAGATCTCCAGAGTTTGGCACTGAGAGCCTTGGGCAGGAGGAGTCAAGTGCAAAGAGAACCAGACACGAAGAAAACGTGCTGAGGAGGATTGCCATGATCGAAAGGAGACTGGTGGAAGTGACCGTGGGTGAAGAGAAGTTCTATCATCTGGACAAGATCATCGACCAGGAGTACCTCAACGCCGTGGAGACTGACGAGGGCGATGAGAAGACTTTACTTCAGGTGAATAACATGGAGAAGCTCTGGTCTGATGACCCACTGACTCGAGCACCACCAGATCCTGATCCTGGAGTTGATCATCTGGCAGCTGAAGTTGAACTTCAAAGACTACAAGATATGGGCGTCATCGAACCTCTTGGTGAAGAAGATGGTGGACTGAGTCTTTTGACTACCAGAATGGTCTACGACTGGAGGATCAAAGATTGGATGAATCCAATCACCAAGGAGGTCAAAAGGCGATGGATGAGACGTGGACGTCTTGTGGCAAGAGAGTATGCAAATCAACGCCGTGATGACGTTCACTCCCCAGCTTCAGGTGGACAAGTTCTACGGCTTCTTCCATCGATCTATCTGATGATGCTTGGTGTTGATGGAGTACCTCGAGAAGAACTACAAATTGGAGCTTTGGATGTGAAAGATGCCTTTCTTATGGCAAGTCAGGAGGAGCCAGTGCAGATCACAACAACGAATGGCAAGTTCAAGGTCAAGAAGAACCTTCCAGGCCAGCGACTAGCTGCCAAAGCCTGGTATGACTACCTGGTTTCCTTCCTGAAGAAAAGAGGAGTTGAATTTTCCAAGGAGAATCCATGCGTGGGAAAAAGGGCAGGACGACTTTTCCTTCTGCTGCATGTCGACGACATGATGATTTGCGGCTGCAGAGCTCAAGACAGAGTTCGTCATTGCCTACAAGCTGGCGCAATTCCCTGGTGATGAGTTTGAGTTCCTCAAGAGGACCTACAGACTATGTGATGATGGCATGGACATCATGCCTGGCCGCTACGGTGAGACGATGGTCAAGCTCTTTGAAGAGAGATTTGGTGCTGTGAAGTGCCAGCAGGTGCCTTGTGGAGATGAAGCTCAAGAGATTTCGAGCACAGTTCTTCTTCCAGAAGATGAGGCATCGCTGTATCGCTCTTTGGTGGGCAGTGGAATCTACTTGTCACAGGAGCGCATAGAGCTTGGCTATGTCATCAAGCAGCTTGCTGGTGGAATGTCAAGCCCAACATGCGGCCATCTACAAGTGATGAAACGTTTGATTGGGTACCTCAAAGCAACGTTGGGGAACTACAACCATTTGGACCTTCCAACCTATGGCAAGGGCATCCATCACCAGTATGACTCGAAGTGGGTCTTGGAATCGTTCACTGACAGTGACTGGTCGGGTGACAGAACTTCAAGGACAAGTACCAGCAGCTGTGTGCACTGCCTGAATGGCATCATCATCTTCCACAGCAGCCGTGGCCAGAAAGTTGTCAGTTTGTCCAGTGCAGAGGCAGAGCTTCATGGACTTGTCAGTGGAGCTACAGATGGCATAGCTCTTCGCATTTGCTTGGAGTTTTTGATGGACGTGAAGGTGTTCCACATCTGCCTGATGGACAATTCGGCAACGCGCCAGATTGCCAACAAGAGAGGTAGCGGGCGACTTCGTCATGTGTCTGGGAAGCTTCTTTGGGTGCAAGATCAAACAAGCTCAAAGACTATGGAGGTGAAGCAAATCAGCACTTTGCTCAACATTGGAGATATCGGGACCAAGCCTCTGGGAAAGTCTCGATTGCAAGCTTTGATGTTTTGGTGCAAGATCTACAACAGAGACGGCACTCCTATTGGAGAAGATGAAGCAAGCAGGGTGAAAGAGGCAAACATCAACAAGGCCAAGATCATGAGAGTTGCAAAGCTCCTGCAGAAGGTGGTCATCTTGGGCGGCCTTGAGCAGGCTCACGGCGAGCTCATCCCTTTCAGGATGGACTTGGAGACCATCATCCCTGTGGAGGAGCAGGTTTGGTTTTCGTTTGGGACCCTCTTTTTCCTCCTCTTCACTGCCGTGCTTGTGGGTTTCTTCATCGTGTACAAGGTCTTCATGCAGTTCCAACGAGAAGTTCGAGAAGAACTGGCAGAGATTCGCACACGACAGAATCGAATTCAAGCAATCCAGAATGAGCTGGTTCTTGAGTCAGGGCTTCAACACACCCATGTCACTGCAATGCACGTGTCCCTGGTCAGGCTTGGTGGCTACATCAATTTACAGCAGGAGATCACTGAGCAGGACTGGGACAATTGGTACTACATTGAACGTGGAAATCAACTGGAAGATGACAGAGTGTGTAGACGTGGCCTACGAGCTCTGAGGAAAGCAACTAGAACCAGACAAAGACGACATGCTACTCCTGCACGAGCTGATCGAGATGGAGCTGACTATGACTATGACGAGGATGCGCCAGAGAACATGAGCCCAGAAGAGTATCAAAGGAGAATGGACTCCAGCAATCCAGAAGACTGGCCAGGAGAATCTCGTGCAGAGCGCAGACAGCGTTACCTGCAATCCACCATGTCAGAGTGCTCGGATCCGGATGAATGGATGGCACTACACCATGGTGATGCTGGCCGAGATGTTTTTCTGGGTGGTGACGCGAGCCGCTCTCGAGATGGCTCAGCTGAAGGAGATGGAGATGAACGTGGAGAAGAAAGTGTCCCTACTGATGATGCATCAAGTGACAAGGACACCGTGGTCTCCGAGTACATGAGAGATGAACACTTGGAATGGCCGATCTACGACTTCACTTCATCTCAAGATCGAGCCCAATTAAGTGCACTCCAGTGGATCAGAGATTGGTCCTTAAGACAGGCGAGAGCCATAAGAGATGGCAACGACCGCCTTGCTTCTTGGTGCAGCCGACAGGCAGCTTCGCACCATCTTTTTAGCCGAGTAGGTGCAATCAGTTTGAATCAATAGAATTTGTGGCAGATTGGTCAAACGGACCAAAATGCCAAGGAGGAGTGCGAGACTATGTGATTCAATACATGTCTTGCAGACTTGAAGCACATTCATTTGATGCATGTTTCACATGTCGATATCATAGGCCGCTTTGGCTTGAGAAAAGCTGTCGCATATATATATATATTTATACATATATACATCTATACTCATACATATCCGTAGAAGGTCCTGTGCAAGAGATCCTGCGTAGGTTCCCTTCGTCAAGATCTTTGTGGCAAGTCTCTGTCAGAGATCTCTGTGCAAGATCTCTGTACAAGGTGTCTGTAAAGAGACCCCTTGGTAAGATACTTGTAAGAGATCCCTAAATAGGATCTCTGTTCAAGCTCTCTATAAGAGATCTCTTAGAAAGATCTCTCTTACAGAGACCTCTTGGCAAGATCTCCTTGTGAAGATCTCTGTGCAAGATCCCCTTGACAGAATCAGCACCGCGCCACAACGAGAGCGATCAGACATGCACAAAGTAAGGAGAGGGTTGCCCGAGCACCTGTTTAGATTTCACCAAATACCGCGCGCGCCATGAAACATGATCATTGAACATGTGTAAATCAATGTTTTACCTGCAGGGCTTCAGGCACTTTCTCGTCGAGATCTCTGAAGTATTGCGCCTGCAACAAAAAATTATTCCGTAGGCATCCGAAGTCTTGCACCTGCCACACTCCACGCAAAAGGTGACTATGTTCCAAATAAAAAACGAGACTTTCGACCTTTTCAAACCGTCGTCCAAGTTCAGCAAGCAAATGCCGCGCCTGCCACGCAAACCAACCTCAAAAACCACCTCTCCTTTCGACCCACGCCTCCCAATGTTAGCAACGTGCAGAAAGTGCCACGCCTGCCACGCGGATGAAAAGCGTCGAAAGTCGTGCATCTGTCACGTAAAAGATGCTTTAGATTCAAAATGCCCCGAAAGTTTCATGCCTGCCATAAAACGTGTACATATAGCTCCAAAAGCGGACATGACACGCAGCGTTTCGTGCCAGACTTCCTTTGAGAACCGAAGCTCTGGGAACTTGTGTGCGGTACCCTCGATCAAACCCAGGCTCAACCCTTACTGTAAGAACCCGAAGTGTGAACACACTGTTTGGGAAAAAATCGTCTCCCAAAAGAGTGAGCTTCTTTGCTGTTTTATGTAAGGCACAGGAAACATCCATGTTTGAAAGGCAAAAACCTTGGTTTCCGGTCAATTTTCCTTGAAATCAACCCCATGAATTGGCTGATCAGCGAACAAACAACTCCGTCAACTAATCATTGGAATTATATAAAAAAAATCCCGGATTTTTCTTTAACAATTCGCATGACATCTATCTATCTATCTATCTAGCTATCTAGCTATCTAGCTATCTAGCTATCTAGCTATCTAGCTATCTAGCTATCTAGCTATCTAGCTAGCTATCTAGCTATCTAGCTAGCTATCTATCTATCTAGCTAGCTATCTATCTTTCTATCTTTCTATCTATCTATCTATCTATTTATCTAGCTAGCTAGCTAGCTATCTAATCTAATCTAATCTAATCTAACCTAACCTAACCTAACCTAACCTAATCTATCTATCTATCTATCTATAAGATTATATAAGTGTTTTTTTAATTTACAGCACTCTATATATATAATAGGATATTTATATATACCTAAATAAATCAATGTTTTTTATATATAGCATTAGAAACAGGAAATATATATGTCTAGAACTATGTATGTGCCCCCCCAGTTGCAAGTTGGTTTTAAAACCCATTAACTATAGTTATTTGCGTATCATGAACCCAAACGTGAAATTGAAGTTATTTGCACCAACTGAACGCTATCTAAATCTCATGAAATCCCAATAAATCAACATTCGATCCCATTAAAGTCCATTTATGTGCCCATATATCTAAATCTTGGTTGGTGGTTTTGGAACATGTTTTTTTTTTTTAAATCCCCAATAGTTGGGATGATGATCCAATCTGACGAACTCATATTTTTCAGGGGGGTAGGTCAACCACCAATGAGAAATCCATCTCTGCGCCTCTGAGGCTCTGCGCCTGGGCCAAACGCCCAGATCCTGGTGGGTCTGGGACCTCGGCAACGTTATGATGGTTTCACGGGATATTATCTGTTTTTTTTTCATGGCTTTATGATGATTTTATAGGATATTATTCCCCACATCTTTGTGAAATATCCATATATGTTTTTTTTCAACCTTTTTTGGCATTTGGCCACTGTTCAGATCTCGAAAAGATCTCTCTTTCGCCAGGAATGGCGAGAGCTCTTGGTGGGTTTGGCTTTTTGGTGTGCCATCGCGACCTCAGTGTTACACTGTGTGAGGCCGGACGACAGTCAGTGTCTCTGATTTTTTTGCAGAGCCGACCGCAGATTGTAGGAGTTCTTTAAACTGCGGTGAGAATTTGTATGGTTGTACAATTTGATGGTTAATGCAATTTGATCCTATGGTACTTTTGGTATTCACCATCCAATTTTAGTAGTTCATTTTGACCCATAGACCCAATTTTGATATTGCTTGGAAACATGGATTTGCAACATGGACACATCAAATAAACCGTATCTTTAGTGAAGGACATATTTGCTATTTGGTGCTTGACAGGTGCTAGGCATACAAGAATGATTGAACACGGGAGAACACCCTTGCAGTATCTCATGGATGAAATGGTTGATGCTGCCGTGCCAGTAAACTGGTGCATATTTTTGGGACACATTTTAGGGCCGCGTGGTAGGGGTGGCACCGTTTTGGGATGTGCAAATTCACATTTGTTGTATGCTAACGTAGGTTACACCGCCATTTTTGCTGGTTAAATTCGTATTTATTGTAGGTTGTACAATACATTTTTTTGATGCTTAAATCATGTGAAGTCACCATTTTTGAGCGGTGAAATCACAATTGTTCTTGCTTCAGAGCCCCCATTCGTCATTGTGAAATCCACATTTTTGTTGGTGGCTGGCTGTCCTCCATGACCCGCACATCGAGGCGTGCTCAACGCCGGCGGCGGCTGCATCTTCTCCCTATTGCAGGGGAAACCCAGGACGGAGAATTGAGGGGAATCATCCCCATACCCCTCAAGTTTCATCTATTTAGTGATGTTTTAACAATGCAGCCCTAATACACTGTAGATGATTCAGCATGATATATTATGTACAGAAATTATGTACAGTAATTTATGTACAGTAATTATGTACAGTAATTATATGCAATTATATGTAATTATATGTAATTATATGTAATTAGTTATATATATGTATATGATTCAACATTCTTGTACCTGATACATCGAGTTGGGTTTTGGATTCCAGGGATTCTGGGATTCTGGCATCGAAGGTGGATGGGGCCTCCAGTGGCCAGTGGATAGCTTACTCAGTTGCCTTGTATGCGGCTGAATTCTACAGCTTATGGTAGATATAACGAACTATAGTTATATATGGATGTTAATGGGGTTTATAAACCAAGAAACATAACTGGGGGGCACCATCCTGTAGGGATTTAACAATCCCAAACTGGGATCTAAACCACACACGCTGGGGATTTTCGATGATTTTGCCATGTCATATTCACAAAAGAATCGTGCTCCAAACTCTTTTGCGAGCTTTTTCAGCATATCTTATTATCTTCCTCCATACCCCCATCATATTCTTGGTGAACATCGGCATTTCTGTAGTTAAATGTGTTAAACCATCTTAGATCACCGCAGTCCCTCTGACGAAAGGCTCATTTTCATGAGTTTTCGTAACCCCCAAAAAGATAGCATCGTGGCGAGGTTCCTGAACGTACCCGAGGATCCAGCAGCCCAAATTCCCAGGTTTTGAAGGATATCTTCATCACATTAGCAGCGTTCTTGCTGACGGCCTGGGCCCCTGGTTTTTTTTTGGGTCCCCGAAAACTGCAAGGCTTGGTAGCTGATGTTGAAATAATGTTTATAGGCTGGTTGGTGGTTTCAAACATTTTTTATTTTCCATTTCATAGAAAAGGGATGTCATCCCAACCCCATTGACTTTCACTCCATCATTTTTCAAGATGGGCACATTGCACCACCAACCAGTACCCTCTGGTAAACTAACATAACTATGGAAAATCACCATTTTTAATGGGAAAATCCACTATAAATGGCCATTTTCAATAGCTATGTTAGTTTACCAGAGGGTAAGTGAATCTGGTGATTTTTGCTGTTTTCTTGGTGGATGTTTCTTGCTTTGGATCTGCCTCTGGGGGTCCATTTGAACTTGCAAGGGGTCAACATGCAGCTGGGCCCTGAACATATGAACTGGTCGTTGTTTGGCTGCTTCTTGGGACCAGAATTGTTGTTTTCATATGAACCGCCATCCAAGTCTTACACTCAATGGATTGATTTAAGGGAAAATCTACAGGAAACCATAGATTTTCCCATGAAATATGGGGTTTTCCTGTAAATTTTCCCTTAAACCAATCCATTGATACACACCAGTAGCTTATCACATCTCCTCAGCTGTTTGGTCGAGATATCAAGAACCAGGAATGGGACGTATTTTTTGTTATCTGAATGATGGTTGTCCTAAAATAGATTCCTACTCATCGGAACTAACAAGAAGAATTGTATAAACCCAACATCAATCTCATTACTTGGCCGACTTGGCCCAATATCAATCCCATCATCACTTTTGCCACAACTATTGTCCAAATAATCAACCCAATAGCAACCCAATCAATTCCCGGCAACATAAGTCTACCCAAAAACGGCCAATAGTCGTCTTTTCATAACATTTCATAAGCCAAGCATCGTTGCCATATTTCGTGGTCAGTTCACTCGTTGTGCTGCCGGGATGGTCGCTTCGCATGTTTCCAAACGAGTCGACATGTGGAACTCACAGTAGATGTATCATGGGGAGATACTCGGAGATGGCATTTTTGCACCTCATGGTGCTGGAATATGAATCCCTACATTTACCCCATAAAAATCCACCGGTTTTGTAGGTTTTTATATGCCAGCACCATGGTTCGGATCGATATGAGTAATGCACCATTTTTGCGAGATCTACCCAGTTAGATTCACGGTGAAATCCATGGGGTCTATATTAATTCACTTGGACTACTGGTTCAAAATGGTTTATTTCTGTGGTTATAGATTATTAAAACATGTAAACCAACCACTTCAAAACCTTTTAAACCATACATACATACATACATACATACATACATACATACATACATACATACATACATACATACATACATACATACATACATACATACATACATACATACATACATACATACATACATACATACATACATACATACATACATACATACATACATACATACATACATACATACATACATACATACATACATACATACATACATACATACATACATACATACATACATACATACATACATACATACATACATACATACATACATACATACATACATACATACATACATACATATTACTGTACATATATATATATATACATATAATCATATACATATATATATATACACATACATATATGTATGTATAAACACATATATATATATATGTATATATATATATATATTATGCTTTATATCACCAATGGATATTGATGGTTTATATCCATGGGTTATAAACATCTGTAAACCACGATGGATGGCAACAAAAAGTGACTGTCGTGATATATTTTCTTGGCGACTCGAGGCTCAGCCCTTTCTGTGGCTCTGGTCCTTTCTCTTGGCTCCGCTCTGGCGACTCTGCGCGCGGCTGCCGGGACTGTCACAGGCGAACGAGAACTGCGGGGGATTCGATCCGCTGAATCTGGGAATTGATGGGGAATCTATGGGGAATCTATGGGGAATTACAGTAATCTATAGGGAATCTCTATGGGATTTGATTTGTTTTGGGTTGTAATGTTCTATCAATCTGAATTTGATCATGACCTCAGGATGCTTAAGGAATCATCCCCAAATGGCAATTTTTTCTGCAAGGCTTCGTGAAATCTGGTCATTGATCCAGAAACCTTGGATTTAAACACTGAGACAGAAACTTTGGAATGAACCACCAATTTTTCTGAAAACAACACAATTTCATCAGAGAATGAGATTTAGTCAAGCAACGAATTAAGGATTTGATCAAGACACATGGAATTAGAACTATTGCACTCACTTGGTTGTACAAATATATATATATACATACACATTTCTGGCTGGAGCAAATCAGTGTACCCATGTTCTCGGGGTGGACTTGGAGTTGGGATCTCAGGGTGCCATTTGATATCCCAATCAACGCCATCTTGCCTGTTCTGAATGGGTGTAGCAGTGTAGCATGTTGTACTCGTAGCCCCATTCTTTATTTGCTTCTTCCAAAATTTTCGTCAAAGTCAAATCCCATGATGCCCATGATCAATTTCCTTCACATAAAACACGAATGTTGAAGAAGCTACGGCAATCAGCTTCTACATCGTTTTTTCTTCGGGATGTGTCAATGGACCTACGGTCGCAGAAAAACCTTACAGGTGCATCCTGGACCTGTGCATTGGGAAGAGTTTGTGGCCTTGGTCGCGGTGCTCAGCGATGCCATCAAAGATGGCAAATCCTTTTTTTATAGATGAACTTTCTGATTCAAACCTCCATTTTTTTTAGGGATTTCCCAGCTACGTGTGAAATGCCTGCAGTTGTTTTTTTTCGGCGTCGGTTCCTGATGCCTGAAGTTGAAAGGAGTTACGGCGCTGGGAACGCTGTTGTCATTGGATTTGGAAAGCTTTAGGGATCTCATGGTCGCAAAAAGCATCAACACACTGATTGGAGTTTGGCGGTGCACCACTCGGTGCTTATTGTGTTTGGCTTAAACGATTGGTAAACACACAAAATGTTCCACTTTCTAAGTCGTTTATTTTTTCAGCAGCTGGAATCAGCTATTGCCATGATCATTTTCAGCCCCATATTTCACCCCCATGCATTCTTATCTGGTTGGTGGTTTGGAACATTTTTTATTTTCCATAATATATGGGATAATCCTTCCCACTGACTAATATTTTTCAGAGGGGTTGAAACCACCAACCGGTTATGTTTTTTTTCATCCCCATTGGTTGTTTCTTAGGATCCCACTCTCTATGAGTTCAGCGCTGAGGCAGTTCTTCTGTGGCTGGGGCTCCGAATTGCATCTAGATTGCATATGGCTTTTTCTGTGACTTTGTGGGTCTGAAATCGAATCAATGTCACTTACATGAGTTTTTTGGTCAAAGACGGGTTGAGGACCGCCTTAGCTGGTTAATCATTAATGTTACCCTCTGGTTTTTTAACATAGCCATGGAAAATAGCCCTTTTATAGATGTTTTTGATGATTTACCTATTAAACATGATGATTTTCTATAGCTACGTTAAATAACCAGAGGGTATATTAGATCATTATATCCCCATGTGGTTCACCATTACCATAGACATCCATAGACAAACCATTGAAATTTCACATTTTCATTGATTCATTTTTCTGGGAACCGACGAATGACTCGACTAATTTCAGGGCGCCCGGGTCGCTTGAAACCCTACAGAGAATTGTAAGCAGAGCTTGTTTTTGATCTTTTATTGGTTATGATCCCTTTCCAATTTGTTACATACATTTTTTCTTGCGAACGCCTATCTTTTTGATCGGCCGAAAGTGTTTGAATATGAGTTTGGTTGGCTACTTCGCCAATTTCTTGTTGGCCGAATCCCCACTTATACTGGTTAAAACCGTATTTTACGTAAAGCAAATAAACTGCGATAGAAGATCGTTGGTATCAGTTTTCTTTGGACGGATCAACACCAGTGATACCATCTTTCGTGTGAGGATCCTGCTTACGATGGAGTTTTCTGAGTAGTCTGTTGATGCAGTTGGAAATGGTTCAAACATGTTGAAACAGTAATTCATACGCCACGATACACACTTTTAATGATGTGCAACTAGTAGTACAGTCTAATGTATGTGCATGTATGTGCGCCATCTATGTCCCATACAAAACAGGGTCAATGGGCTTGCTTAGTCCTGTCAGATATTTGGGTCTAAATGGGCCTTCAAGTCACAAGCTTCACCCCATCATCTGCATAGGTGCACCCCATCATTTGCATAGGTGGAAAACCATTCACCAGTCCAAGAGAAACGGATTCTACAATTTTTTGGGTCTCATGGCTAAGTTGGTCAACTCTATGGTGTTTATGGTAAGGAAAAATCTATAGCGGCTGATTTACAAAGCACGTTTCAACTGAGGGGCCCACCTAGTTCAGCCGTAGTTCTATGGTACAAAATGGGTTCAAAATGTCTTCTTGGGATACATTTTGTACTCCAATTCGTAGGGGACGTATCTTTATAAAACCCGGCCAGACCTCGAGAAAAGTGTGTAGTTGGCTTGTTTCACCAATATGACTGTTTTTTTATGGTAAATACTGTAGATCTGGTCAACATGAACCAACTTATAAATGGGGGCACTGCTCAGCAGTGCTCGTTGTCAAGATTATGTTGATTTTCCGTTGTTTTTGTTTGTTTATCGGATATTGAGATACAGTTGTTATTGGATGCTTTCTAGATTCTTGTTTTATTATTGTATCCCGATTTTGGTTATCTCTTTGTATTGGATTAAAAAAAAACCCATCAACTTGGTGCTTCATGAATCTTTCTGGCTTGCAATCAACCCAAGTCTCCAACCAAATCTCTATAGATTTTCGCTCCATGAGACGATATCTCCAAGAGCTATCTCCATGCATTTCCGCTGCATGAAACCTGGATGAATAAAAAAACACTGGAATGATGAAATTTGGATTCGGTCATCATCCCCACATGGTCGCAAGACGTCGCAAGTTGCATTTTCAGGCGAGTGAATTATTATGAATTATTGTAATTCAGCCAGGCTAAATGGGTAAATCGTGGGATACCAACTGAATATGCTTTTGGATGCAAAAAATAACAATTTTTGGGGTTTTCTGATGCTTCTACGAGGTGGCCTTTTTTAGACCAATAGCTCTTTTAGCCGCAATTTCATGGGTTTTTGATAGCTCAGTCAGCTAAGTTTGTTCATGCCAAGGTGAATTCTGGTAGATATCTTGAACGTTGAATACACATGAAAGTTATGGCCCTGTACATTCCAGTTATAAGTGCTAAGTCACCCCATTTATATCCATTTATGGTTATGTATAATCCCATCGAAATTTCGCCAGTTATAAGCATCATTAATCACTATTAACCATGATTATCCATGATTAACGATTATTGATCACCATTAATCACCATTAATCACCATTAATCACCATTAATCACCATTAATCACTATAGAAATTACCAGTTATAATTCCATTTATCAGTTATTTCCCCATGTTTGTGTACAATCCCATAGAAATCACCAGTGATTTCACTCAGACCCGAGGCCTACATCAATTGGTACCACAACACGCAGCGCCTTCTGGTCACGCGGCATTTGGACGATCTTTTGTACGCCTTGCTGGAGCCCCCAAGGTGCCGCCGAATTGTGGAGCCCTTGGGTACTTTGACCAGAAATGGAAAAACATCGTGATGTATTTGGGATTGAAAATCCGGGATCCCCGTATCAAATACCAGGAAAATCTCGCTAAATACACCATGAAATCCGATTTAATGGTGTACTTAACGAGATTTTGATGGTATTTGATGATAGTGTAAGGGGATTTAAGGAGATTTAATGGGTATTTGATGGTGTTTTTCATGGGATTTATACCATTGAAAATGAAGATGATGATTTTTGGCCAATATCATCCCTTCCCCTAGGACGAACCACCCCCAAAATCCTGTTTTTTTTCAGGGATCTACATATTTTGGACCATACGATGGGGGTGTTTAATATGAACAGGGGATGGGATTATGTGAGTCACGGAAAAAACACCAAAAAAAGATAGAATAGGTTTTAATTATCACTATTTTAGTAGTAGGAATTTGAACCTCTTCTATCTTTCTTGGGGTCCCTATAGACTGAAAGAGTTTCTCCTTTTCGATTGGTCAATGTATGATAATATCTGTATGTGGTTTTAGTATACCCAGCCAAAACGCATGAACATATGGGGATATCAGTGGATATGGATGATAAATAAATGATTGTTGGTCGATGATTATTATAAGGGATCATACTATCAACGATATTGGGGATGATCACAGTCCATGGGGAATCCCGTTTGAAAAAGCAAACAGTATAGGGCTCCCTGACTTGGACATTGGCTCTTGGATCAGGAAGATCTTGTATGGACAAGATGGTTTTGTCCATGCTCCCAAGAGTGTCATCATTCATTTTCAGATCCGCAAAGTCATCATGATGTTTCTATCTGCAGGACAGATTGGACAGGACACTTGGTTAGTGTTGTTGCATCCATGATGTACAAAGTAGTCGGCCAAACATTTGGTCAACTGAGTCAACTATAACGTGGGCAAAACAATAATAAACAATCCCCCAGTCATCACCATGTTTATAGGTGGTTACCATTTCCAGGAAAATGGGTGGTAAGTTTATGGCATTGTTTTACCCACATTACCTATACAGACAGGGTTGGTAAAGGTCAATTTTCGGAGATTGGAACTATATATCACTTGAACATTTGCCAAGCCCTGTAAAGATGGTATGTGGTATGTGAAGGATGCAGATCCCCCAGTGGAGCAGGCAACACGGCAACACGACCTTTTCACCACTGAGCCCCACGCTTCAGATCATGATCAATCTTTGATCTTCATGGTTCTATTGTCCACTGACGCTGATGTCGTGGATTCCTTCGCCAGGCTTGTGCTAAAAATGAAAAGCCATTCAACCAGGTGCATCGGTTTTGACAGTATATGGTTTCCCAATTCTATCCCAACATGTTATCCCGTTGTCCAATGATCAGTGTAAACAACGGTTGTTTTAGTGGCTTCTGTTGGCCCAGAAAATGGTCCCCAGATCAGTCATTATTGGGATTACCTAGCAGGTGGAAAGGCTTAGTGAGCCATAGATCATGCATATTTGGATTAACTGGATTAACTAAGCCACAACCTCACGTCTCAAGACTAACTGGGGCTATTCCATTAATCTAACTGGGTTTGTCTGAAATGGTGCCCCAAAATCCTGCGGTCTATCATGACATTCCGCATTTTCAGACATACCCGCCGGTAATCAAACGCGGCGTGCTGGACAAACCTCCATTTATAGAGGATGTAAATCAGACAAAATCCCAGATTTTTCTGATTTTCCCATCTTTCCCTATCTTTTCCCATGACTTCCCGATTTTTTGTTTCCATGTTTTTCCCTATGGCTGACCTTCAGGATGCCTGCGCGACCTTCGGTGGACTTAGACTTTGAAACCGAAGCGGTGCCGGTGCCGGCGCCGCTCTTCGGCGCAAGAGGTGGGTTTCGCTCAGACGGGGACGGGGAAGATCATGGGAGACTGTGGGTAAAACAATAAAAACTATTGTGATTGTCTCCTAATCTAATTAATTACGTATTATTATTATTATCATCATTATTATTATTCAATGACTAAAACATATATATATATACATCATTACTTGGTGGCTCATCCCACTTAGTAAGTGGGTTATAACCGCAGTTATTTCAGTGGATTAACCCTACCTATCCCATTTATAACTGGGGTTATAACTCACTTACTAAGTGGGATGAGCCACCAAGTACTAATCTAATTAATTACGTATTATTATTATATGATATGGTATAGTATTGTTGTATAGCATCTATTATTGTTAGATACCATCTATTATACCTAGATAAGGCCTATAATAGGATAATTTATACCTAGATAAAGCCTATAATACATTATATAAGAGTTATTTTGCCAGAACATATATAATAATAATATTAGGTGGTATTGAAAAGATAAGGCCTATTTATACCATGCAGAATAATAAACCATAGATAGGTGATATAGATACCATCTATATTTTTTTTTTATAGTATAATAATCTATATCTATAGGTGGTATAGATAGGTGGTATAGATAGAACAATAATAATAACCATAGATAATAAACCATAAATAGGTGGTATAGATAGGTCTTATTTCAGGTTAGTGAACTATGATAATTTAGCCATCTATACAGGATGGTGCCCCCCCAGTTATGTTTGTTGGTTTAGATTCACCCCATGAAAACTAGTTCGTTATATCTACTATAAACCATAGAATTCAGCGACAGCCATATCTCAACTGAACGCTATCTTTGGGGTGATGGGAGAATACTGTGGGTAAAACAATGCCATAAACTTACCACCCATTTTCCTGGGAATGGTAACCATACCACCTATTTATGGTATATATATATATTATAATGAGATATATAAAAATGAAATATATAAACAACTATGTGGGCCTTAGTCCTAAGTCATGGGTCCCTAATATATATATAAATGGTGATGACTGGGGGGATGGTAAACATGGCATTGTAAAATTCCCACATCAACGTGGGAATTGATGATTTTTGATGGGAATTTCATGGGAGAAAAGCATGATGGTTTAATGGAGATAGAATGGAGATAGAATGGAGATAGAATGGAGATATAATGGCCTGTTTTCATGGGAATTTTAATGGGATAATAGCGGGCACATGAAAATTCATGGGAATTTTTCATGGGATTTTTTTGCTGGGAATCTAAATCTGGATTGGAATTTGATATTTTACGGTGGATGAATCCTATAGGAAGTGAATGGGAATTGCATGGGAACTTGGCCAGAGAATTATGGGATAGTGGGAGAATGGAACCATAGATAACCAACAATACGACTTGGGTTTATTCCAAGCCCAGTGTTGCAGAATTCCTTCGAACATCTTAAGCGGACAGGCTCATACTTAGAGGACAAATCAATGGTTTCTGGTGAATAGTTTCCCTTAAACTTATCCATTGGTGGTGATGCAAGCGGTTCCAAAAGGCCTGGAGTTTGTGTTAAGGGGGGTTGACCATCAAATATAGTTGTAACCAGCAAAAAAGGTGCTATATCATTGATAATGCGGGGCACACCATGAAATATAAGCATCACACATATGGCTTTAAGCATCAAAACTTCAAAGATACAGTATACTTATGTATACTTGATAAAGGATTGTTGATTGATAGCGGTTCTCAGTCACTAAAAGAGGGTTGTAGTGCCCAATGTCTTGGGGACTATCATTTTCCGCCCATTTTCACCAGCCACTATTTTTTGGTGAAAATTCCCCTCCTGATAGTGAAATCAGGTCAGTACCTCGCGGCCTAGGCCCACGTTTTGGCTCGCTTAGGCCTACGTCACAGATACATGATTATATATATAATATATATAATATATATATAATTGTATTTGCAATAGATAGATGTATGATTGATTATATTTTTTCTGTAGCGCTGTACCTCTAGTGACCCCCTCTGTCCGTCCCAGGTCCCAGCGGTGTCCAGTCACCCCTGAAGATAAAGCCTAGAAAGGTGTGTAGCCAATGGACCCCAATATGATTTAGGTCATCTCCTGTACCTCTAGTTGTGAATCCACATCCAAGATATTCCAAGATTGTCGGCCTAAGTGATCCAAAAAGTCGTCCTAAGTAACCCTTGGACCGTGAAATCATGTGAAATCCCTATATTTTAGTTGCTTCAAATCCATATTTCTTTATGACAAGCTATCTATCAGATCTATCTTCCTTGGTGAACTGAAGAAGAAAATCACCCACGAAATGAGATGGGTGATGCCACCTCTCGGTCACAATTTGGTGGAACCATCTCCCATTTGCAACCATAAAAACCCTCTGCCCAAGAAGATATAAGGAGGTTTCAATTGGGAAATCATTTGTAAATGCTGGAAATTGTAGATTTTCGATTGCCACGTGAAAAAATTGCCGGAGGGCATGAATGATTTCCTGATATTTCCAATCATGGATAGATGATTTCCGTTCGATTGCCAAGGGAGTATCCCCATGTTAGTTGCTGGGTAAATGCTGCTGAAGTCCACATGAACTTCTTGGTGAACATCGGAATCTTTCTTGGCAAAAAAAACATGTTAAATCCCAATCTTTTCTTGCTGAAAAACCATCATTTTCATGGGGGTAAATCCCATTTTTCATATTTTTCGCAGTTAAATTCAACTTTTTCACAGTTCAATCCCTGATTTTTTAATGGTTCCATCCAATTGTTTCATGGTGAGATCCAACTCGCTGGTCCAATCCCCTGGAAAAAGATGAAGATCTGCAACCTGAAGCGCCAGGAGACCAAGCTGCAGAGGTTCGGTGACCAGCCGAAGTTGAAGGATGCGAGTGGATTAATCTATAGACATAAATGTACGTATATATATATATACATATACACACGGTGTATATATATTATATATATATATATACAATATATATATATACAATATTATATACACAATATATATATATACAATACATATATATACAATACATATATACAATATATATATATACACAATATATATATACAATATATATATATACAATATATATATATACAATATATATATATATATACAATATATATATATATTGTATATATATATATTGTATATACACTATATATATAATATGTATATATATATACACAACATGTATGATTATATATATATATTGTACATATATATACAATATGTATATATATACAATATGTATATATATACACAACATGTATGATTATATATATATTGTACATATATACATATATATACAATATGTATATATATACATATATATACAACATGTATGATTATATATATATACATACAATATATATAGTATATACACTATATAATATACATAAGTATGTATACATTCTAATCCACTTTATCTTCATATGTACATGATTTTTATATTTTCCATTATAGCATGTATAAAGCAATGAATAAATAACATACATGAATACTTTTGAATATGTGTCAATATATACAGTATATGTAGCTATCGTCCCAAAAAACACTGTGGCTTGAGAACCTTAAGGTAACATATGGGTGTGTCTGAAAATGGCATACTACTTGGTGGCTCATCCTACTTAGTAAGTAGGTTAGTTCACCCTAGTTATCTCAGTGGGTTAACCCTACATATCCCACTAGAAGAACCAGGGTTATAACCCACTTAGGATTCGTGGGATGAGCCTCCAAGTGCTACTATATAATCATCATGATTATTCGTGGTTCTATATGTATATGTATTTATATTGGGATATAACATGATATAACTAACCAACTGTTTTTTTTCCTTATTGATCTAGATGAATCAAGAATAATGACTTTTTCCGCGTTTTCCGCCCGGTCAGTGAAGTGTGATTCAGCAATGGTTCAGCCGGGAGAGATTCTTCCCATGAAAAAATGGATTTGAACACTACTATGTTGGATGAACCTAAGCTTGTAGCTTTCGGATTTAGATGATTTTTGTTTCAAGTACTGGAACTAGGGAAAAAAACCGGGTGTGTCCGGAAATCTCGAGCATGGCTGGCAAGTGTGTGTTCATAACGGTGTAAATGTACATATAGATACAACACATATATATATATACATAATATAGAATACATACACATGCATCATGCACCTAGATCCTTAACCCATCCGCATGCGAAACTGCATCATCTTTCAATACGTTCATCAAATTGTGTCAACTGTTTTGGGGTCACGGTACTGATGTGGAGCTAAGAAGAAGCACCCAAAGAAGATCGAATCTCGGGCTATACCCGGCCTGGTAAACGTTTACACAAAAATTATGGAAAGATCCACCATTTGGAATAGGTAAATCAACGAACTTTCAAGTTAGCCAGTTTCAAGTTCGCAAACTGAAATCGTCATTACCAGAGGGTAATTCCCATATATATCCCATATAAATCCCTATAAATCACCATTTTTCGTAGGTAAAGCATCTATTTCTATGGGCCATGGCTTCCATTTTACGAACTGATAGTCATAACCAGATGGTAGGTCCATGATCCAGAAGACTGGGATGGCACATCATCACGTTGCACGTTTTTTCGCTGCTGCCAAGGATATAAAATACCAATGACCCGTAATCAAACATGATGGGAAATCCCTCATAAATAGGCATGGAAAATTTGGGATTTCAGGTCTATAAAGGGTGGAGTTTCAGCCATGTTTGATTGTCAAGGGGTATTTTGCATTTTCTAGTCGATGATCCTGTCAAAACATGGGATTTTCAAGAGCCTCTGAAGCGTTGCTCGCAATGGGGCGTCGCTTTCAGGCGGAAGAACGGCTACAGAGACTTCGCAAGGAGACCGTGGAGACCGATGGTTCGTTGGTGGTGAAATTTGGTGTTTTCTTGGATGGTTTAAGTTGATCCTTGAGTGTCTAATGGTAGTTGAACATGGTCTACCCTTTGGTAAACTAACATAGCTATTGAAAATGCCAATTTATAGTGGATTTTTCCCATGAAAAATGGTGGATCTTTCCATAGTTTTTTGTAAACGTTTACCACGGGGTAATAATCAAAGAAAGGGACAATACTGGGATCATATCCTATTGTTTTCAGCATGTAGCTGGTGTCAAACATCGCTGAGAAATCCCCCTGGTCATCGAAGTAATCGACTGGCTGGGGAATTTTCCAGCAAGCCACATTTGATTGGAAAAATGTCGGGTATGTGTCAGAAAAACGGTCAAAACAGGCGATTTTCATCGCCAGAGGGGATTGGTCATGGATTGGTCATGGGTTGGTCATGACTCCATCAGTAGAGATTGCCCAAGGATTCTCATTCTGATGGGGATTAAAGCGCAGATACCGCATGTTTTGACCCGAAAGCACGCACATGTGGCAGATTAATGGGATCAGCTAGCCATTTGCAACCAAGAAAGAGGCTTATATATTTATATTATATCTTCTGGGTAAATTATAACGACCTCACTGCGACCTCACTATAATCATAGTTTGTAAGGGGAATCATCCTCAAATGGCCTTAATTCAGGTTAGTGAAATATTATAATTTACCCATATATATATATAATGCATATACGAATTCAATTTTCGTCCAAGAAATGAGTTGATGATCCCTCATCATCACTTTCCTATTTCAGGTGGTTAAAACGGCAAAAACCCGTCAATAGAATCATGGAAGTACATCACCTAGAACTGTTAATTAGTTGCGACCTCAAAAACGCATCTCATACACTAGATTAGCTTCCCCCAAAAATGAACAGTCTGACCCTGAAAATAGCTTGTCTTGAGTGACTTGTGGCTTTAATGGAAACAAATCAACCAAAACCACCGACTGAATTTTCCGGCGTCGTCATGTTAATTTACTTGAGGCTATGATTTATGGGGAAAGATCCTTAGACCGTAAAACAATGGTGAGTCTTTGAGGAGGATTTCTGCTGAATTCCATTGGCCAAACAACAAAGTATGGTGCCTGAAAGAACTTGAGCAAGGGTTGATTGCCGGGGCACTCATGAACTTTGAAAATTCAGGGAATCTAAGATTGGCTATGATTCACTGCGGATTGCGAAATCCACCAGTTGACAGGGTGGCATCCCATTTGTTTATAGGGTTTCAAGCATCCTTTCGGTGGTTTTTGGGATTTCTTTTCACCCACCGTATCTTGGCTCAGAGCAATGACTTCATGATTGGCGTTCCAGATGGTGCTCCAGATGTGTTCATAAATACATCTATGTTCATGGATCAACACACTTAACAGAGATACAGATGAAGATAGATGGAAACATGGATTTACATAGATAAATAATACAGATTAAGATGGATAAACATAGATAAACATCACTTTTTTCAGGGCATGGCCGAATCTTGTGAGATAACGATGGCCAACAACAGGTGGAAGGACGAGTTTTGCAGTTTCTCAGAGTATCAGTTCCCACACTCCTGTGGAAAAATCATCGAAGATTGTAGAACATCTTAGAAGATCTTGTACTTGTAGAAGCCTCAGAAGCGAAGCCTTACAAAATTCGCCCAGTGGATTTTTGCGCCAAACTCGCCCCTTTTTTGCCCCGCAAAACTCGACATCTTCCAGCCATGGCGAGTCCTGGACATCGGTGGAGACCAGGTTTGACCGAACTGGCGGTTGAACTAACAGAAATGTGATGATTTCAGTAACTAACTGGGATTGAGAATAGGTTTTATGTTGCTTGATTTCACATGATTTCACCGATCTCTGGGATATTTTTTGTGGACCATGGATTTTTTTTTAGTGAGAGTCGACATGGTAGTGTGATCCCCATGATGGTGAAGTCATCCTCAAGTGTCGTGAGTTGACCCTGACTTAAGTTGGATGGGGGGAGCTAAAACAACTAAAATTTTCCTGGGCTCTTGGTGAGATCTGGGCGACTTACCATCTGGTTATGACTAACATAGCCATAGATGGCCCTAATCGAAATAGATGGTTTACCGAACTTAAAAATGGTGGATCTTTCCATGGCTATGTTAAATAACCAGAGGGTATTGGTAAATGGTGGTTTCTTCAAATGGGCGAGTCAGTCAGGTTTGGGGGAAACCAATGGTGAAATGGCGCATAGGTGACCGCAGTCACATCCTTAGTGGTGACCGCTTCTCATAAGTTGTTTTATAATCCCACTTTCCTTGTGGTTACCCGGCCTGGTAAACATACAAAAAGCTATTGAACATGGCCATAGAAAGAGTTGATTTACCCATTGAACATGGTGATTTTCCATAGTCATGTGGCTATGGATCAATACCTATTAATACCATTTTTAGTGGGATGAACATCCATTTACCAGCTATTTTGATGTTCACCAGGGGTACAAGGTTTTGACACACTGCCATGTAAACGTTTACCAGAGGGTACACCCCTATCATGCATAGTTCTTCCTGCCTCTGAAGAAATGGCCGCATGGCCCATCAGCCCATGCCTTCTAATGCAAGGTGTGACCCAGACTGCTAGTCATCTCCCAAAATGGTCATTGCTCCTCAATATTCAAAGACTGGTTGGTGGTTTCAAACATGACTTTTATGAATTCCATTTCATAAAAAAGGGATGTCATCCCAACCCCATTGACGAACACTCCATCATTTTTCAAGATGGGCACATTGCACCACCAACCAGAAGATATTCAAACATATTCATTTCGACCGACTGCGCAAAATGGCGGACTGCGCCGGCTAAATTTCAGGCGCTTTCCAGCGGATTCTGCTGGCCCTGTCCCCTACTTGGTGCGTGGCGCAGGTGGGGAGACGGGATGAGGATGGGCATCTGCTATTGGTTGGTGGATGATTTTTCATGATGTGGCTTCCATTTACATCGCTTAAAATGGCTGTATTTTTTCCATTATATATATATGGAGGTGAAACCTGAGTCAAGGGGGTACCCCTAGCTATCATCCATTTATAGCTAGGATTTTGCATTATAAATTATAAACCATCCATAAATAAATAGGGGTACCCCCATGACTATGGAAACCTCCACATTTTCAGAGACAGCCAGGCCTGGATGCCAGATATCCTCCATTCCCCATGGCTTGAATCCAGGATAAACATGCAGAAATATTTGCTGTTTACAAAGCCATGGCTGAAATGTTTCACCCCAAGTTAGTAAATGTATGTGTTCTATTTTTTTAAAACTATACTTCAAGTTTTGGTACCCCAATTATAGTTTATATCCCACTGTTCTATAAATGTCTATAAATACTAACCCCAGTTTGTTGGTTAAACATCCCTTTCGGCGGGTCTGCGCGACCTGCGCGACAACAAGGCTCCGAACAAATCTGCGACGGATGGCGCTTTGGTAGGCTTTGGGGACATCTCTTGACTCATCGGTGGTTTCACGTTTTTTGCTGTCAACTGGCTGTCAACCCTACTTGGTGGCTCATCTCAGTTAGTAAGTGGGTTATAACCCCAGTTATAAGATGTTGTAAGTAGCGGAAGTTGAGTTAGTCCAGCTATGCTTGGGGTGAACTAACCCACTTACTAGCTGGGATGAGCCACCAAGTACATCCAAGTACACATGGGGTTACTCTACGGTTGTCATGGCAAATGAACATCCCTTATACCCTCTGGTAAACTAACATAACATAAGTATGGAAAATCACCATTTTATAGCTGGGTAAATCAACGAACTTTCGACTGGGCCATTTTCAATAGCAAACTGTTAGTCATTACCAGAGGGTAATTCCCATATAAATCCTATATAAATCCCTATAAATCACCTATAGGCCTGGATGACCAACCCTGTAGAAATGGCTCACTTTTCGCAGCTACAGGGATTCGGGGTTTTCCCCACCGGTCAGTTCCGAATACACACACACACACATATATATATATACACATACAGGCCATAGACATATTGAAATACAAAGATGCTTCCATAGGTATTGGTTTGCAGTATATGTACATACACATAAGTACTTATATATATATATATACATGTATGCCTATATTGTTTGGGACGGTATATCTAATGATGGACATTTATGTTCTGCTCTGTGTCACAAAGGAGCGCTATGGATATATTTCTATATACTTAAACCTATTTGGCGGCTTTCCCAGCTTCTCAGAAGCTTGAATTTTAGGCATCTTCTTGAAAGATATAAAATACAGGAAGCCTACAGTGGTTTTCAAGCTTCCTGATCAAAAACTTGGCTGCCAGCCTGCTTTTCTGAACTCAAAAACCGAGCTGCCAACTGGAAAACACAGCTGCTAGCCTTTTTTTTAAAGCCTCTTAGAAGCTAGCATTTTAAGAATTTGAGCCTTATTTTCAGGCTTCCAGCCCAGGGAGGAAACAGGTTTAACTCTATCAGCCCCATACCTCAAAGACCAATCCCATGGGCAAATGATGTTTTTTTTTTTTTGCCTGAAACTTTGGACCCCTCGCTGAGGGGCACAAATTTGGCACAAGTGGATTTTGCATATTAGCCGCGTAGCCTGCCAAATTGTTTATCACAAAAAAACATAACAGCCATATGAATTCCTATAATCCATTTCATCAAAATAAAACCACACACCAGATGGACTCCTCTTACAAGAATCCATATCAAACCATACAGCATATTAAATCCTTTTGATCCATATTCATAAACCCGAAACTAGATGAAACCATAAACTGTATTTCTTGAGGTTTAAACGACGGCCAAACCTGTCACGGCCCGACCAAGTGCTGCCTTGGAGGCAATTTCAGCAACGGCAGCGTGGCCAGCCCTCACCTGGTCCATCTGGCGCTGACGGCGACGCGATCGACGCGATCGACGGGATCAGATCTGTTGGTGCGCCTGGATGATGCGGAGGAAGCGGCTTGGAATTGAAGTGTCATTAAAAAATAACGATGTTCCAATCCGGTATGAACAATGGATATAATGGATATAATGGATATAATGGATATCATGGATATAATGGATATAATGGATATAATGGACAGAATGGATATAATGGATATAATGGGATAATAGATATTTCCTTTGTATGAGTGCCCGTTGTGCACACTGTCATGGATATGTTCTTGATGTTCCAATCCGTTAGATAACGGTGGGATATAACCATCGACACCATGGCCAACTGGTGGAACGGCTTAAGGTAACGGTTTTTGGATAACAAGTGAGATGAGTGTTTTACCAACAACGTTCGGAGGTATAAACCAACGGACCAATGGATATGTTTATTGTTACATATACATGTGCACATATATATATATATATATACGGCAAATGCCTGGGTTTTGCCCGGACCCGCAATGACGACGGGCGACGCATCATCATCATCATCATCATCATCATTATTACGGGGGTGGGAGTTTAATATTCCATAATATCTTTGTTGATCTTCCCAATTGCATGTAAAGTTTAACCGGGGTGGGAGTTTAATATTCCCTAATATCTTTGTTGATCTTCCCAATTGCATGTAAAGTTTAACCGGGGTGGGAGTTTAATATTCCCTAATATCCTTGTTGATCTTCCCAATTGAATGTAAAGTTTAACCGGGGTGGGAGTTTAATATTCCCTAATATCCTTGTTGATCTTCCCAATTGCATGTAAAGTTTAACGGGGGTGGGAGTTTATTCCCTAATATCTTTGTTGATCTTCCCAATTGAATGTAAAGTTTAACTGGGGTGCGAGTTTAATATTCCCTAATATCTTTGTTGATTTTAATTTTCACGATTTGAAAGTTTAAAATTTGCTAGTACCTTTGCTGTTTTTTCCATAGGAATTGCAGGTGTTATGCCGTTTTTGTTTTTCCCATAGGAATATTGGGTGTTTTGACCTTGTTTGTTTGATAGTCTCTAGTACCTGTGTTATTTTTCCCATAGGAATTACGCTAATTTGCAACATCATTTGTTAGTGAATGGGACATATATGCATCACAGGCAAAACAAGGCCACAGAAAAAACACAGGTTCAGATGGCTAGCCAAGTGATGTGCCAGCGGTTGCGAAAGCTACGGTCTAGGACCCGAATGCCGGTGGCGGGGAACCAAGCCCTGATTGAGCCAGGCTGAATGGCCACTGGCAGCGCCTCAAAAAAAGGAAGAGGAAAAACATCTCCTTGGGAGAAGAAAAAACTTCAGTCCGGAAACTAAAAGCAGCCCCCACTCAGGTGAAGAAGAAGATGCTGGCAAACCGTGAGATCAACAGCAACTTCATGGAATCATGGGTCCAAAGCCAATGCTGCACCAAGGTCCAGGGGAAGGCCGGCTCTGTCTCCCACGACAGCTTGCCGGCGACGAATGGCCCGCCCGCTGGCGCGAGCCAGCAAGACAGCAACTTGGTCACTGAACCGGCTCTTCACCACTCCGGGATCCAGCCCTTCGACCACAGCAACTGCCCCGCACAGGCGGTGGACAAAGGCCCGAGTCTCAGGCGTGCTCCCACCTTGCGCCTCCCAGACCAAGGGGAGATAGCGAACCCCAGCAGCTTCACACAGGCCCGCAGTCCTATTGTGAGCCCGCTTGCGCTGAGCATAGGCCAAGCAGGCAGCTCCAGCCGCCTGTCGTGTGGCGTCCCAATGGGTATCCCCCAAAGCATTCACGACAGCGATGTCTAATGCCAATGGAGGTGGGTTGTGGGGCTGCGCGCCGTCAGGCAAGCGAGGCACCAGACCAGTGGCGGACCGCACCAAGACGTCTGCAGGGCGTCGCTGGCCATTCAGGAGCCCGGGGGCTTCAAGCACTGGGCGGACCTGAGCCCGTTGGCAATAGTCAAACACCAGATCGCGAAGACTGTTGTGGAGGGCCACATGGTCGCCGCCAGCCATGCAGCTCAGAGCATGGCGGCCTTTGCAATCAGAAGGTTTACCGCAGAAGCGGCAAGGCCCACCGCCACACACATCGACTCCCAGGCGACCTCCGAGGATGGCAAGGAAATCGGATCTGGATAAAGTGGTGTCAAGTGTGTGTGAAGGTGTGAGCCCTAGCGCAGCAGCGGAACCATCGACTGCGTAGGCATGGAGGCGGCAGGCATCATCACTGCCGGCCCGGCTGTACCATCCATCCAACAGGGTTTTGCTCACAAGGCTGCTTAAATGGGTTTGCGTGAGCGTGGTGTGGTCGTCCCATTGGAAAGGTACTGGCAATACTGGAGTGCGAAGCTGATCCCAGCAGTGTTGGAGGGCAACAGACAAGTCGCTACCAAGGTTGGAATCCCATTGGGACATATATACGCTGCAACGCCTGGGCAGAACCCAGGCGTTGCGCGTATATATATATATATATACACACATCATATATGTATGCACATCGTATATATATATATACATCACACACACATATAGATACGCATATATGTATATATATATACAATTTTAGGAAGTCATGGGATAAAACCAAGAGATGCGTGAGCCTTAACATATGTGACATGGTCAAACTTAACGGTGGATTGTATAGCCATGCGGATCAGATTTTGGGATGACAATAGGCTACCATTTTCTGACCCTAGCACATATAGGTGTGCCTGGACATGGGATATACCCCTTATATAGATATACATGGCCAATCAATGGTGATAATGATTTTGAATCAATGGATTTAGGGGTACACAATTTTCAGACACACATATATAACATTTTTAGCTTACCTATGTACATATGAATAAACATGCATATATATATATGTATGTACACATGTAATGTTGAGAACATAATATAATATACATATATATATATATATACATATGTATGTATATGTACATCTTGTATACATATTATACATAATGGTTAGTAATGGTTAGTTGATGTTGTTGATACCACTGTATGATAGTTAGCATATGAACTACTTAATATGAACATGATTCAAAACTCATGTTGATTGAGGATTTCGGGGTCATTCTAGCCAATAAATTAGGGATTATCTTCCATCATCGGAACCGATTGCACAATTTTCCTGCCACAGTCCACGGCCAATTTGTGTGGAGAGAAGTTTTCCTCAAGATGAGGTGGTTTTTCTTACAGACACGTGATTGGACAGAGGGATCGGAACCGATATGAACAGGATTACGAACGAAATGAAATGTGGAAAGGCTCCACCGTCTGTTTTTTTTTTTAATTTTCTGAACGGGAGCCCCGTGGCTTTTCCACAGCTACACGTGGGTCATCGTCAAAAACGTGACCGGTAGCTTGCCCAAAATCTTGGGGTCTTTAATCCATGAACAGGGATTCATATTAACCCAATATAAGGAATCCATAAATTGGATTTGCTGAAAATGATTTTTATTTTCCCGGGACATCTATGGGAATATATATATAGATTTGTGGGTTCCCTAAGCAAATCCACGATAATCATAGGGTGTACGACTAACACCATGTTTTGACCATGGCATCAGATAAACTACGTCCATACTGGTTTGTCCTTGAACATGGGGTACCATCCAGTGCCATCCAGTACCCCAAATGGCAATCTTTACAGGGAAATTCCCCATTCATCTAGGATTAAATTGCTCATATTGGGGGTCATGCATCCATGTTCGTTGAAATTTATACACCCATTATATGAATTCTTATTACGGGGTGGATGCTCATAATCCATGTTCGGTTTTTTGACCATGGAACATACAAGATAAACTAGGTTTATATATATATATATATACATAACATGTATTTATAAACTGTGATTACACCTTGGTTCAATGACTGTTGGTTGAAGTCTTCGATACATTATGAGGTAAATCAAGAGAGCATGTTACTACTGACCAATGGCTGTATATTCCTATTTTCTTCTAGACATTCCATACATATCTAATAAGCCTCAAGAAGATGGAGAAAACCTTCAATTGACCTGGTGAAACAGCATAGGGCCCCTGGCTTTTCAGGCCAGGTTAGCTCCGCCCTTTGAGGTGTTGAACCGCAGCTCCCCCGTTTCGCAGCAAAAACCGAAACTGGCTTCGTTGCCAAGCGGATCTATGTTGTCAGGCAACTTGGAACATCTTGGAATGTAAGGGGTTGAACATGGTTTCAAAATGCTTCAAAGATGTGAGTTTTACCAGCCAAAATTAATTTTGAATCAGGAAGAATAGCGATTTAAGCAGAAATAAATGGGGTTCAATCACCAGACAAGATGATGTAACTAACTACAATGGGGTTTTACTCACTGGTAGTCAAGCATGTGTTTCGTTCTTTTGCTTATGGAAAAAAATGGAGCATCATCTAAAGGTTGAAAGCTATGTTTTTGTAGCTTGTTGGTGAAATATCACCAATTTTTGTGAAGACACTCCAGTTTTCCATATGATTTCCCCATATTGATTGGATCAACTACATTCAACCAGGGTTTCTTTTTTCTGTTGGAAGGGCTTCATGTGGTTGTGACCAACAAAGTCAAATTTTATCCACTCAAATATACAATTCCCCAAAATAAACAGAGACTGACCCTGCCAAATAGTGAGTTGAAAGACTACTTGGCACTAGAACTTTGGTCATTTGCATGGTCTATGTGAATTTTTTGGAGGGGAACTGTGGCACAATGACGAATCTGCTTACAACCACCGTATTCCCGGTTTTCCGATCATACATGGTAAAACAAAAACTACCAATTCTACTGAAACCAATCAAACAAAGCTATGATTTTCTTGAAATCTTCACTGATCTGGTCGTTTCTTTGCGCATGTTCTTTGCGACGAAAAAGGCCTCCTTGGCATGGCATATATCGACCTGTGTTTTTTGGTCGATTTCTTTGGAACGAGTTGAGGTGAGAACCCACCCTATCTCCATAGGTTTCATGATGAGTTTACTCGGCAGTTTACATCCCAAAACTGGTTGGTGGTTAATGATGGTTAATGACGGTTAGTAATCACTGGTTGGTGGTTTTTGAAACATGACTGGATTATGATTTCCTTATTTCATAAAAAAGGGATGTCATAAATTTCAAGCCCATTGACGAACTCACTCCATCATTTTTCAAGATGGGCACATTGCACCACCAACCAGTATAGTTACCCTCTGGTAATTTAACATAGCTATTGAAAATGGCCATAGAAATAGTGAGTTTTCCCATTAAAAATCATGGAACATCACCATTTCTTTCATGGGTGACTCGAGGCGGTTTCGACTACCACAAGGAGCCCCTGCCGTTGGATTGGCGCCACGATGGACTCACCGTGCCATGGCGACGACGCGCGCGTCGTGGGCGACTGTGCCTCCGAGGGGCATTTCATGCGGATTTTCTATAGGATTGACTCACAGGGGATTCAGATGGCTATGAGTCATAACCCTGGTACCTAGTGAACCACAAAACAGCTGGGTTAAAATGGATGTTCATCCCATGAAAATTGATACTAATAGGTTTTGACCCATCCCCAGGTAGCTAAGGTGGAGAAAAATCACTGGGTGAATTTGAATTGATGAATGGTTTATGGATGTTTTGATGTTTATGCTAGATATTACCAAGTAGTAAATGATGCATCTAAAGCAACATTTCACTGGAGCCCGCCTTTTCGAAGGAATAGAAACTCAAGATTTCAAATCCCAGTTGTAGTAGTTTGAGTACAGTTTTTCACGGGTAAACCGTCACAAGATCTCAAAACTAGATTGGAATCAAGCAAAATGGCAGTAAGACGTGCACAACAGAGGGATATATGATGTCACCAAAGCAAAACTTCAGTTACATCATGTTTTTTCATCTTTATAAAATCGCACCTAAAACTTGGGTTCAATCATTTCACAAATCCCGAACCTTTTGGGAATAACCGTGAACCTATCCGATTAAAAAAACACACGTGGCTGGTGGTTTCATATTTTTTTGCAGTCCTTGCGGGGATGATGGCTCAACCACCAAGCCGATTTTTTTTTGTTGGCCCACATTTGTAGATCATTTCTGGTTTCCCATGATATCCGTGTGTATATATGCGGTGGTTATCCCCTGGCGCCAAGATCCTCCTGGCCTCGTTGGGCCTGGTGGTGGCCGCCTCCGGCGGTATCGGCGGCGGCGGGATTCTGGTGCCGCTCTTCATGCTGGCGCTGGACGCCATCGATGGATTTGTTGGGGCGGATTTTATGGGGATCTATGGATCTATGGGGATTTTTGACTGGAACATTGGTTTAGTATGGGATAATGATGGTTAATGATGGTTAATGATGGTTAATGATGGTTAATGATGGTTAGTAATCACTGGTTGGTGGTTTGGAACATGTTTTTTTTCCAGAAACCGTTGGGAATGGAATAATCATCCCAACTGACTTTCACTCCATGATTTTTCAGAGGGGTAGGGCTCAACCACCAACCAGATAAAAAATCCACTGTTATGGGATTTATGGAGTGTTTTAGTTTTTTTTTTGTGATTTATGGAGTTCTTTTTGGACTTTCTTGGGATTTATTGGAATCTTTCTATGGATTTCCATGAATTATTATGAATTCTTGGATTTGGGATTTTGGGAATCTTAGAGGGAATCTATGATTCGCCTATTGAAAAACTGGGGAGAATATAGATGATAGTTCTATATTCAGAATAGATGTTCGTTAGACGTTAGTCTCACCCCCCAACTACTGTACCTGGGCCGGGGATTTGGACGGAAATTTGGAGAGATCGGAGACTCCAAAGGATCATTAACATTCATCAACCATCCACATCCAACTTCATCCAACTTCATCCAACTATGAATGGAGGATTTCCATTCAATCAGTTGATTATGGATCGATGGGTGCTGTCAGAGTTCGTCATACTTTCCGATGGATGATCCGATGATCCGATGATCCATTTGGCAATGGTTTGATGGTTTGATGTCCGGAGGGTACCATTTTCCCAATGAAAGCTGGTTAACAAAACTGACTTTGGAACAAGACTTTGACATGTCTTGAAAAAGCTGGTTCAAATATCTCAAGCTTTGCTTGGCATCATTTTGTTTTTTATCTGGTTTTTGATGATCCACCGCTCATCAGCTCTGGAACATCGCCGCAACGGGGAGAATCTCCGCCGCGATCAGGAGTTCAAACCCAAGCACGCCATCGCACTCTCCAACTTCACCATCCTGGGGGGGGCCATCGCCAATACCCTGGCGAACCTCAGGAGATCGGCGGGTGGAGGCCCTGGAAAATCTGCCGGAGTTTTTACGGCAGAAAATGGTGGGATATACTCAGAAACATTATAATGAAGATAAATGAAGGACATCTTGGAGTTGGAAGCCACAAAAAATGTCTCTCAAATAGTCCTGAGACACAAAATGATGGGGATTGATGGATATCCATAGGAATGGCATGGGCACAGAAAGTGGAACACTTCTTTCAGCCTTCGTCCCTGTGATGCTTGGATGAAGTCAATGGGTTTGTGTTAGAAAGCACTGACCAATGAATCAGAGATATGGGGCACACATTTGTTCGATGGCCTAAACCGGAGGTACCTACCATATATAAGGCCTATATAAGGCCTAAGGCCTATGTAAGGGAATATCCCCATAAAATATGGCCTTATATGGTACAGTACCTCCATTTTAGGATCCTGAAATTCCCATTGATTTGTTGCAACATTTCCGAAATCTCCCTAGTCTGCTGCTTTCTTTTATCTCCTGGTCAGATCGCTCGGTCAGGAGAAAGCATCCTGATCGCGATGGGCCCATCATCGATTGGGATTTGATTCTAGCGATGCTGGGACTGCATTAAAGAAAATTGAAGTGGAAGCGGGGAAAGCTGCCCCATTCGCGTTCACGTACTGTGGATGGGCCAGCGAAATCCTGCAGCGAACGGATGGTTGAAACCCTATAAATAATGAGATGTTTACCACCTATCAGCTGGTGCAGGATTTCGCAACCATCCGCCGTAGCCAGAAAGCGGTCACGTGTAGTCGGCCTGTCGGCCACTCAACTTTGTGCTGTTTGGGGCTGCTTTCCCTTTAAGAACCTGCAGGACTATGTCGGCCTCAACATGTAACCCAAAACTAGGACAGACAAATCACTATCTGGTTGGTGGTTTGGAACATGAATTTTATTTTTCCATATATTGGGAATAATAATCCCAACTGACTAATATTTTTCAAAGGGGTTGAAACCACCAACCAGAATCACTATGGAGGTTCTTGATGTTTGAGCTGAGCAGAAGCTGGTTCATCTAATCAGTGACGCCCATGAATGGATTAACGAGATTCCCACTGTCCCTACCTACTATCTAGAATCTAGCGAAACTACAGCCAAGGGAACGGGCTTGGGATAATCAGCGGGGAAAGAAGACCCTGTTGAGCTTGACTCTAGTCCAACTTTGCCTACCTATCTATCTACCGACCTACCTACCTACCTATCTATCTATCTATCTAGCTATCTAGCTATCTAGCTATCTATCTATCTAGCTATCTAACACATATCATGTACATATAGACATAATAAGATCATACAACTTCACCTGACGTCCGTCAAGTGCTTCGAAGTTTCACGCTGCTCGGCTCCCAGGATGGAACCGTTGACGATCTTCGGAGCGGTCTTTGGTTCGTTGCTGTCAAAGACTGGTCCGAGGGGGTGTGAACTGCACTGGTTATGATTGGGTTCTCTACTGTAGTTACCCTCTGGTGATGACTAACATAGCTATTGAACATTGGCATTTTTATAGTTAATTTACCCATAGAAAATGGTGATTTTCCATAGTTATTACCATTGATTGTTCCAAATGCCCAGTAAAAAATGGTGATATTCTACAGCTATGGCTATGTTTGAGGGTAATCCCATTGGGTTAATCCATGGTTAATCCATCAATGTTTAAGCCAATCATAAGCCAATCCACGGTTTTTTATGCTGAATTTCCTTGAATCCACGGTTTTTTATGCGGAATCATTCCCAATCATCAATTTTAGTTGGGATTTTATGCCGAATTATAAGCCAATCCAATTGGTATTGTCTGAAAATCGCTGATGCTGCGTCTATCCCAAAATTCCCATGGTTGAAAGCCTCATTTTCCTGCTTAAAAACACATATCATTTGGATTAAATTGGGAACTCCCAAAAAACTCGGACTGACACCATTCTGCTAGCAGCTCTAATCATTTCTACTTATGCACTCGAGACTATGTACCACTTTTGTCACTTAGATACCCATTGCAGTGCATTCCAAAGAGTGATTCATCCAGACGGGTTACATCCCCATGTGGACCACAATCAGTCAATGGCTCAAGGTGTTCTTGTTGGTCAAGTCTCAATGCTTGTTGATTAATAAATATATAGGGATACCATGAGGATTTCTAGGGGTTATAATGGTTTATTGGGATATAATGGGGATTACCCGGCCTGGTAAACATACAAAAAACTATGGAAAGATCCACCATGCTATTAATGATTAATGGGAAAATCCACGAACTAAATAGCCATTTTCAATAGCGAACTGTTAAATTACCAGAGAGTAATAAATATATGGGTATGAGTCTGAGTCAAAGTCCTGGTGCGCTTCTGTTCACATCCATGGCTGCTGTGTGGATGTAAAAATCACTTCCCAAGATCTATGAATCATACAGGATGGTGCCCGCCAGTTATGTTTGTTGGTTTATGAACCCCATGAAAACTATATATATATATATAAGTAGTTATATCTACTATAAACCATAGAATTCAGCCACAAGCATATCTCAACTGAACGCTATCTTATCGAACAGGGGTCCCATCCTGTAGGCAATGTTGATCGGCGAAACCACGATCCCGATGCCGAGAGGATTCTGCCGAACTTCGTGTTGACCACCATGCTCGTGATCATCTTGGCCATGATCGGTGCGCCAAGAGCGCCGGCGGGAAGGGAAATGAGGGAAATGATGGGCGCGGAAGGGGTCAATGGGTCAATGCCAAGAATCTTGGTAGGGATAGGTGAGTTTTTTTTTTTAAATGAGGATACATTTGGCCTAGAATTTTTGGCCTTTGAGGTACAACTCGGGAAATTTGGACCCAGGGTATATATGGGATCTTGTAATTTACAGAGCGCAGTTTATCAGGATTTATGCATCAAACTGGTTGGGATTCAAGGAATGAAAGTTTAGATTTCCGCCCATGGGAAAGAAGATACCCAAAGAAAAAACACATGGTTGGGATGGCTGAATTGTCTCTACAGTCCTTGGATGTGCACACGACTTCCTACAGCGTTACCTATTTTTGCGTTTAGATGCATTTGGTAGATCAACATAGTCATGGACAATAAGCCATTTGGAGTCTACCTATCTGCACACGGCCATTCTCTATGGCTATGTGAGACTACGAGACTACTGGACGGCATGATCATAAGCCAGCTTTAAATGGATAAACAATTATGTGTTTGCGCTTATTCGCTTATTCATCACCTGCGGCTTCAATCTTGGTGGCAAGGTGCTCTATCTCCGTCCATTTTGGGAAAGAAAAGCCTTCGGATTCGAAAATAGCAGCGAAATGGACTTTCTCTACTTGAGGTGGGTTCACACCCACAACTCCTCTGCAAGGACCCTTAAAGAAAAATCATTTCTTGGCTGACTTGATCCAAGAGTTCCGTGCACCCAAACAGCTGACCGACCACTACCATGGGCGCGATTCAAATCACACACATGGGACGTTGTTTATTAGATTGAATCGAATGTACATAATGAAGTCTATCAGAATGATCTCTCAACATTTCCTGGTTTGCTTCCAAATTGTCAGAGTTGTACTCCATTTTTCTGACTAATGTCCGGATGTTCCCCTTTGTTTCACCCCATGTTGGCGAGTTACATCCACCTATCCATTGATTATCTGCCCATGAAGTATACCCATTTCTCCCCATTTCGCCCCTCGGTAATTTAACACAACTACACTATGGAAAATCACCATGTCTGTAATCTTTATACATTCGCCATTTTCCTTCTGTTATTAAATGGGTTCAGGAACACTTCAACAAACATCACCAGGATGCGATTTACCTTGCTGTTGTTGTTGTTGTTGTTGTTGTTGTTGTTGTTGTTGTTGTTGTTGTTGTACCCTCTGGTAAACTAACATAACTATGGAAAATCACCATTTATCATGGGAAAATCCACTATAAATGGGCATTTTCAATAGCTATGTTAAATTACCAGAGGGTACTTCTTGACCATCACCGTCTCGGAGTCCGGGGTGTTTTATATAGCCATATTTTGATGAGGCCAGAGTTTAGGCCACATGGCCTCGAGCATTTCAGCGCTTACCGAGGCACTGAAACATGGATCATAAAGATTGCATTAATGCAATATGCCATCAACATTCCATGATGTCATATCCCATTATATCTTACTACATTCCATTCATATCCCATTATATCTTACTATTCCATATATATATATATATTATGTATCCATATATATATATATCCATATCCCCATATATATATATATATGATATACATATGTGTAATTATCTATCACTAATCTTTCACTTTCGCCAGGTCAACGCACCCTGACCAAGGGCTGGAGCGCCCTGGCGGCCCTGGTTCGGACATCGGATCGAAAAACACCTGGGGTAAACGAACGAGTCGTGGTTAAAGGATGGCCCAGTTATAGATAACTTACATCAATTTACCATGGAATTTACCTGAATTGAAAGTAGTGATTTTCCAGAATGTTAGTTTACAGGAGGGCAACCATCGACAATGGAAGATCTAGCATAAAAATGGTGGCTGAAACATTCAAAACGGTTGGCTTTTTCCAGTCTCATCCTTGAAAGATATCAGCCAACAAAAACCGCCAATATTTAGCCAATGAGATTTTTGAAATGCCCAGCTCTTCTAGCGAAATCTTGGCGTCCGAGGTTTGGGCGGATTTTTGTTGCCGTTTGGAATCCCACCAGCCTGGCAGACCAGCTTTCCACTGAAAAGGGGGTCCCACTTTGAAGGATGATATGGGTATGGATCAATACCTATTAATACCATTTTTAGGGGAATGAACATCCATTTACCAGCTATTTTGATGTTCACCAGGGGTTACAAGGTTTTGACACACTGCCATATGAATATAGGGTTATATAGATATATCAGTCAAGCAACTAGGTAATCTTCATAGCCCCCAGGGTAAAGCCAGTGCTGAAGGGTTTGGTTCGGGGGAATGTCATGGACAGTCAAACACGTCACATCTTTTTTGTTAAGGTATCTAAGATGGTTGTGGTATAGACCTGTTCAATAGATGAGCGGTAAATGTGGATCCGATCTATAAAAGGCGGTTATTTTTTTGGCCTCGTCTTCCAGAATTGGTCAGCGAAGTTACGGAACATGCGGATTTTCCCACCGCAACCTCGGTATAATCCAATCCCCCATGAGATGCCCATGGAATGCCCATAGACCCATGGCACGTTGACCCGTTGACCCGTTGACCCTTTTCAGAACCGAGGCATGTTCCGGGAGGAAAGCCGCACGCTGCGGCGTTCCGCCGGGATGGAGTTGGAGATGAGTCCGAGCAGCTTGGAGTTGAGGTGGGCTATGGAGGGGGGGTGGTTGTGTTTCAGCCTATGGTTTCTCTAGTGTCTACCATAAAAACCCAGCAGTTGAGCAAGATTTTTGAACATGAACTTAGCTATCATGAGGGCCCTAGGTGGGTCATCCATGTTAGTAGGTGGTTTACAAACTCCTTTTTTTACCGGAGATATCCCATATCTGATGGGTCTATAAAACCACATAACTGGAGAGCACCCCCAAGTAGGTACTTAAGTTGGTTTATAACTATAGGATTCAAGCACCATTTCACTCCTAGAATTGGTTTAGAAAATATGAACTCGAAATCCATGGATAAAATCCCCATGAATGCAAACAATTTATCCCATTGTAACTCTGCAAGATACCCTTAACATCCCTTCATTCTGAATAAATCCCATGAAACACCAACAAACACCTGTTGCACCAATGTAACATACTTCAATCCGCATGTGTTTTTTTTTTCAGTTGGAGCAACCCGTCCGTGCCGAGGAGCAACCTTAGCAGAACCTGAGGCCCGGGGTCTATGGATGCCGTAGGTGGGTCCTCAAAATGGGGTACCCCCAAAACCCCAGGCTTTTCCAATGAAATCCAATTTAGATGTTTGGCCGTCCCTCATGCGAAGAACACCTCAATCTACTTTCCCAAAACCATGTCGTTTTTTTATCTGTTTCTCTTGTTTTCTGTGCCATAAATTTGAGGTATTCACTTCCTCCATGCCCTTTATCTGGGTTCAAAGAAAGATCCATAGGAAGTCCCAGAGATTGATTGGTTGGTAAAATCTGAAAAGCGGAAAGCCCCATGGTAAAACATGAAGCAATCCATCGAATCATCAGGTGGCTTTCCCCACGATTTTTTTCCCATGATGATATAGTTAGAAACTATATTATAATCCCATTATGTTATATTGTTGGTTACTTTCCAACTATATCATACTAACTACAGAATTAGAATACTAAGAGATGTTGAAGATTTTGCAGATTTTCCTATATCCATTCCATTGAAAACATCAGATATTAGTTGTATTCCCAGTATATCCCCTACCAGTAGTACCCGCACGAGGCTGGGCGGAAGTTGCCTTAAGGTTATACTATAAGACCTTTTTCGTCTATAGAACTTGCATACGCCGCGGCGCGCCAGCCAGGCCCGTGTGTGCGTGCGTGCTTTGTGCGACAGTGATGCACTGTTCCAAAAGTCGCACTCACACTTCACACTCCACACTTCATCTCATCTCATCTCCTCTCAGCTCTTCTCACCTCATCTCATCTCTTCTCATATGTCATCTAAGTTCTTCTCAACTACTCTCATTTCATCTGAGCACTGCTCAGCCTTTTGCATCTCATCGAAGCTCTTCTCAACCCATCTCAGCTCTTCTGCACGTCAGAAAGCTTCTACCGTCAGAGAGAAATCTCTTGCACACAAAAACCGTTCCGCGCAGAAAGCTTTTGCACAGAGAAGGTTTGCCACACAGAAGCTTGAGACACAGATGCGTTTACTGCCGGCTGCAGCCACTTTATCCGAAAAAACACAATGGTTCGCGCTCCGGCTTCCTCCGCAAGACAAGTCTCATGCAACATTCATGCAGCCATTACAATGCGTTTTGCAACATCACTTGGCAACCCGCATGTATCTATGCACATGGCAACACAACATGGCAACATTCATGCAGCCATTCCACTGCGATCTGCAACCAGAGATTCAACAAGCGCATAGAACTATGCAGACACGAACAACCGCAGAGTGCAGAACACAGTGGAGGAACCAATCACACGCCAAAGCGACCCCAGCCGCACCCGCCTCACACGGGAGCTACCCTTCATCGCCGGCTGCGGCCACTTTACCCGAAAAAACACAATGTTTCGCGCTCCGGCTTCCTCCCAAAAACATGTCGTCCCCTAAGTCGCCACTTCCCAAAGTCACCACTTCCCTAATTCACCGCATCCCTAAGTCACCACTTCTCTAAGTCACCATTTCCGTAAGTCATTACCTGTGGTGTATTGTTGTATTGTTATGTGATTTATTGTTGTGTGATGTATTGTTATGTGATGTATTGTCGTGTGATGTATTGTTATGTGATGTAATCCTTTGTGATGTATTGTTGCGTGGTGCATTGTTGTGTGATGTATTGTCATGTGATGTATTGTCATGTCATGTGATGTATTGTTATGTGATGTATTGTTATGTGATGTATTGTTATGCAATGTATTGTTATGTGATGTATCGTTGTGTGATGTCTTGTTATGTTATGTACTTATGTACTGTTGTGTGATGTATTGTTTTGTGATGTACTGTTATGTGATGTATTGTTGTGTGATTTATTGTTGTGTGATGTATTGTTTTGTGATGTATTGTCATGTGATGCATTGTCATGTGATGCATTGTTACTGCATTACGCTTTATTCGTAACTCGGAAAATCGCTACCCAACTTTATTGACAACTTCCTTTGACAATTATGGTATACTTTGTTGTTATGGTCATCCACTTATAACTGGAACTGCACTTCCAAGAAGAACCAAAAGGTCCGAGAAAGATACCAGTTGTATTCCTATTCCGATTCCATTAAAAAACGTACCATAGGGGTGACCGAAAACTGCAGGACATTCAGGACTACATGGCGTTTCAGTCCGACAGCGAGTCGGCTGTCACTGGCCCCTCGCGCTCGGGACGGTCGGGCCCGGCGACGCCGGGATCTTCCAGGCGAAGGGATGGGTCTTTTGAGTGGTGAAAGATAGGGATTTTAGCAGGAGAAAATGGTGATTTCATGGTGATATAATAGGATTTATGGTGATTTAATGGTGATTTAATGGGATTTATAACGTACTTGGAGGATCTCCCCACCTAACAAGTGGTCCAACACATTTCAAAACCATAGTACTTCACACATTTATCGATGGGGTAACCAAGGTTACGCCATGGTAAAACGCCAGTTACGAAGCCTGTGGGATCATCCCTCGGTATGGCCCTATGAATACCGGCTATGGAATCTCCCTATACCGAGGGAGGGATGAACATAGAGCCTACATGATTAATACCTGTTAATAGCTATTAATACCATAAAAAACATTTATTTTGATGTGAATGGTTGGAAACATTGGAAACGTTCGTTTGATTCTGGTGCTTGTCGTCCTGAAACCATCTCTGACACCGAATTATGAACTACAGGTGTACAGGGTTTTGACATGTTTTGGCCCATCCCGTTATCAAGAATTGGGAGTTGCCGGTTATTTAACGTAGCTATGAGACATGGCCCATTTATAGATGATTTCTCATGATTTACTTTTTAAACATGGTGATTTTCCAGTTCGCTACGTTAAAAAGCCAGAGGATAACAATAAAAACTTGGGGTTCAACCATAACAAATTGTGCTTCAACCAACAAAATCGAGGTTTGATCGAAAAAAGAAAGATTCAACGCACTTAGAATTGGGAAGATACTCTCCAGTGAATTTGCGTAGATATGGAGGACCCATGGTTTCTGAATAAACATGATATTATGCGCGTATATACTAGGTTTTCCAGATCGTTTTCTGAATTTACACCGGGTATGATCAACCATCATGCATCATCATGCAGTGTCTTCTTATTTTTGCTCAAGAGTAATATATGGGGATTCTTGAAATCACCCATTGTAGGACACCCAGATGCAGATCCTCGGGAAGTTTCCTGGAATGTCAGACGTGTCAGAAGATATGTATGAAATTCTATGAATATCCCTCATGACCCCAAGTTCTGTAAGAATATCTGTCATACTACATGTCAGACTAAATTTACGGGTTATTCTACAAGATATACCCCGTGATCGTATAGATACTATAACCTTCTATAACCCTACAAGAGTATTTTTTTGGGGTGAAATGCCAGTACCTATATGACCATTTGTCAAAAATAGTTGTTTAGAAGTTTAGTATTGGTTGTTGATAATTCATCTGGGTCTACTGTTTTTTCCTCTTCGTTATGAGGCGGCACGCAACTAAATTCAGCAATTCTGCAAGGCAGCGCTAGCAAACCCGCTAGGTTTGCGCTAGGTTTGATTGACAGCCATGGCCTCCATGTCGCGAATGTCTTGCCAGCTTTTCTTACAAGTCTGTCAGTTTCCACATATTCCCAAATTTTCGTTTTTTTACGTATTTTACGCGCTAGATCGCCGCTAGCAACGCGCTAGCGAAAATTGCAAATACATGCCCCGGTCCACCCGCAGCCCATTCAGAGGCACAGCCATGTTCACGCTTTGGTAGCTTACAGTAAGGAAACAGCGTTGATCAGGAGGCATGTCAAGAAGCATATTGCATCAGAGAGGCACACACACAGAGACACACAGTTCAGGAGATAGTACCAGCGACAGCGAATGAAAACCGACGTGCGTTAGCCGATTCCTGTGGTTTTAGAAAGATTTCCAAAGGTAACGAAGAATTTCCACGTTTTCACGTCATCAAGGTAGGTCATGTTTTTTAAAGGCAAACATGAGGCGGCACGCATGGAATTGCGATTTATCAACAAAACCGGGAACAGACATTTTGACAAACCGTCATATGAGTATCCGACAAAATTATTAGCATTTGAAAGTAGTAGGGAGCTGCCTTGAACTTTGCTTGCCTTCACGAAACCTTCACAACCGATAGGGGACGACCCAGCACCGATACCCTTAGATTCCAACACGTTTCCACAATAATCTGGAGTAAGGTGTTTATTTCCACAGCAGTGGCTACAAGGAGGGCTGTAAACAGCTACCTCAGCTAGCTTTCTCTTGCAGAGCACCAAGCATGTTGTTTGCGGCAATTCATGCACAATTCTCACCGATACCCCAACCGATACCAACCGATACCCATTTTTGCAATTATTCTCACTTGCCAACACCATGCCCCACGTACTACTCTTGCTGCTACCGCTTCTGCCACTACTACTACTACTACTACTACTACTACTTCTACTTCTACTACTACTACTACTATTGTTATTATTACTACTACTACTATTGTTATTTGTTACTACTACTATTGTTATTATCACTACTACTACTACTATTGTTATTATTACTGCTACTAGTATTGTTTTTATTATTATTACTACTACTACTACCATTACTACTACCACCACTACTACTACCACCACTACTACCACTACCATTACTACTACCACTACCATTACTACTACCACTACCATTACTACTACCACTACCATTGCTACTACCACTACCACCACCACCACCACCACCACCACCACCTGCGAGAATTATCACCCCAGAAGAGTAGATAATTGCAACTGAGAATGTGGACAACTCTGCTTGACAACTCACGCCCTTTTTGTCTCACTGTGCTAGCAGAATTTACGCCTCCTAATCTTGAGCCAACATGTTGTTGGCGGAATGCTGATCTCATTGATCAAAGGAAGCACGATGCGGCTGAGCATGTTCACAATGCTGTGGCAACAGGGAGAGCTGAAAGCTTGGTTGCGGTCAAATTCTCTAATTGTTTCCAAACTCACATTCGGTTCAGACGTCATGTCTGCTTACTCTAGTTCGGAAAAAAAAACTCTTGCAAATTTGCACGGCTCTCAAATTGGAAATGTGATCAAAAGCGGTTCAAAAACTTCGATCTCACAGATTGCTTGGACCCAGGAAACGCAAGACAATAGGAGATCATCAGGATGTTCAAAAAAGTCTCAACCGTGGAAACGTCGCAAAACGATTTCTGAGAAGCTTCAAACTCATAAGCTGTACCGCAGCTGATTATAAATTCCTCTTTCGCACGTCTAAATGTTTCTCCAAAATTGAAATCACTGTGTGAATTCCGCGTTCGAAATCTCAATGCTCTGTCAAAGATTGAAATCACTGTTCCGCGTTCGAAATCTGAACGCGCTGTCAGGAAAGTTGGAAATCAAGCTCTAAACTGCATACGACTTGCTCAAATCGCACAAAACGTGTCACATGCTATGCAGCAAAAGACACTTTCACAAATCTCTGAAATCACTTGAAAAATTCGGAGAAAATTATTCCAAGCTGGCAATGCAAGCTGAATGGCATAGGATGAGTTTACAGCATCATCAAGCAAGTTCAGCTTACTGTCTTGGAGGAGGTTGTAAAGAGTTTTGAGGTGTTCGGAGGAGCGCTCAAAGGGATTGATGGCATGCTGAAAACAAGCAAATCTCTAGATCCAAGTGTCATACTTAAATGGCTGTCGCTTTGCTCATGCATGTGGGTATGATTTGATATAGTATCACGTGAAGTCAAATAGACTTGAAGACTTTGCTAAAAGCAAGTTTGTTTTTTTTTGTTTTGTTGGGGCAACGTTTGCTTGTAGCTTGCAGCAAGTGATTAGTGATTGGTTGAGAGTCCGCCAGCGACCAGACAATGAATACGCATCGAAAGAGGTGTATGACATTCGCACCCCCTTTCGCTGGCTGAATCTCAATTGCATGGCCCATCGGCTCATCATCTCACTGAAAATCGCACGTCCAGGCCTGATCCGGCTCTGGCAGCTAGCTTGGCATCTCTATTGTTTTTTTTTTCTCGGAGCTTCTCCCAGGCAGGAAAGAATGGAGAAAACAACGACGGTTCAAACTGGGTTCTCAAGCAGTTTCTTCATGGAATATCGGATTTCTGTCATGCCAGGCTCGAAAAACTGGTATGCTGGGAGTGTGGACTTGGCCATGTCCTTGCCAATGTAAACATCTCGATAGGCCTGAGCGATGATGCTACACATCGAAGCAGGATAATGGCTTACTTTGTCCCAATTGACTGCATTGAATGCAACGTGACTTTCACAATTGCACTCTGTGTGATTTGCCAACGATCTGGCTAAACTTGGATGGGTTCCCAACCACAAGAAAATCTTTCCAACCTTAGGATCTGTTTCAGGAAAACTGCAAAGCCGAGGGAACTGTGCATAGATATGGCGACCTACTTTCACAAAGAAATCTGCCATGAACTTACTGTTCCAATACCTATTTCTCTTGGGTAGCTCGAAAGTGAACTCATCTGCTGCAACGGCGAGGCTTTGGCTCAGTTTCAAAATTTGTTCCAACTCAGAAACTTGCGTTGATTCAGTGGGCTCGGCATCTGCTGGGATATATTCAGTCGTGTCTGAATTTCCTGAAGGCTGAAGGGAGAAATGCACATAAACAGGCTTACCTTTCTTTGAAAATCGCTGCACAAGATCACTGAGCTGGGCATGAAACATTGTGAAATCTGCCCTTGTGGAAACTCGGATGACTGCCATTTGAATGTCTCCACAAAAACTGGCTTGAATCGACTCGGTTAAATTGCTGTTCACACCGCAACAATTTGCTGTGAACCCTCGACCCATGTGAGAATGATGGTTCTTCTTCGGACCATCTCTTGGCAGAAACAAATTCTCAACTCAACATGGCGACTGCGTCTTTGGAGCCCTGGTGAGGTCAGGACTCGGATGGCTGCTTGGGAATCACAACGGACTTCCACCTCAATGGCTGTGGCATGTTCAAGGTCTTCATCAACTAATCCAAAAATCAGGGAGTTTGCAAGACTGTGTATTCGATCTGAAGCTTGAAAACTTTCATGGATGTTGGTCACATGCGCGTGAGTTTCTAGAAAAAGATGCTCAGAGATACGCTTGATTCCCATGCTCTCTTGAAAGGATTCAGCTAATGCTGACAGTTCTGACTCGCAACTTGAAAGTGCGACCACTTGTTGCAATCTTGTGAAAGCTTTGATGATGGACCCACGATAAAAAACACACGCGCCAGAAATTGATCTACGCTTGAGAAAGCGCATTGGGGCCCAGCTGGCATCACAGTAGATTACCAAGCGTTGCGCTTCTTGTTCCTCGATGGTTGCTTCGGGAGATGGGAATCTCTGGTAAATGCCTCTTTGGCTTTTCATGAATTTCAACACTGATCTCAAAGCCTTTTCATGGCGATCTTGCGGTGTGGCCATGCCTGTGGCTAGCAAAGCTATGTATACATTGATGAAAACATATGTTTGGGACATCCAGGACAGTTTGCCTAAGGCTGCTCTGTACCGCATGGCCGCATCTGGGGATAATTCATCAGACTTGGAACTGTCTTCAAGTATCGGTCGAAGATCTGGAGGATTTGTACTGGCAGTGCTGATGCTGTAGGCCTCAAACATACCATCTAAATAGTTTTCATCCAGACTGATGGTAATCTCTTTGCTGTTGGATTTTCTTTCGATGTTGCGGCCAAGAAAACGCAAACTGCCACCCCCTTCAAAACTTCGCTCTATAAGCCCCGTACGTTTTACTTTTAGGTGTAGGGCCAAATGGTCTTGAACGGCAAATGCAAATACCTTACTCGGGGCAAACACGAGCAGATCATCAACGTATGCAACTACTTGCACCCATGCCTTTCCATGCCCTTTGACTGAAACCTCTCCAGAAAAAACAGTTGTTTCAATCAAAGACGGTTTGATTCCTAACTCTTGCAGCAAGTGGCTTAAGTGCTCTACCCAAGCCAAACCGCTTGTTCTCAAGCCATTTATGGCCTTGAATGCTTCAAGGAATATCGGGCTACCATCTGGAAACTGCATAGTATTTGGTGGCATCTTCAGAATGACTTTGATGGGTTTGCCAAGACGCCGGCCTAGAGGAGAAGCCATGAATGCAGCACTGATGTCCAGGCCTAGAATCACCAGGTCCAGGACTGCTGCTTCTGCAATGAGGATTCTCAAAGATTCAATGCTGGAAGTAGGCGAAGAAACCATGAGGTCACGGGCAGAACTCTTTCCTTTTGCCATTTCCCGTGCAACTAGTCGCATGCGAACATTCAAGGGATCTTTCTCAACACAAACCCATCGGCAAGTGATTATACTAATCTGCCATTGCTTGGCAAGACGCTGGGCTTCCTGCTCATGGATTGGTCTGCCAACCTTCTGACTGGTCATGGAATCGATTTCAGTGTGCATCCCTGCATACGCAAGGTCTTTGTCAAGATATTGGCCATTGGCGTCACTGATGACATATCCAGGAAACAAAAGTAAGATTTCTTCCCCACAAAGGTTTGCCTTGCTGCTCTTGGGTTTCACTCCACGGATCTGATAAACCGATTGCAACATGCCAATGTGACGCTCTTCTAAATACGAAAGCTCAAAGTTATCCAAGGCTGTTACCAAATCTAGCTCCATAGCTTCCGTGGCTGTAGGTTCGCCTCCAGCAGCTGCAAATTCACTTAGATCTACCATTCCGTCAGCAGAGTCGTCTACTTCCATGTCATGGATGACTTCTGGCTCGTCCAACGCCTTTGGAGAACTGGGTGCAAGGCTGGGCGAATATGGAACATCATGTGGATTCTCATCGAGATGTTGACCCCCTTCAACTGGGAGACTTTCTGGTATGGGTTGATTCTTTGGAAGATCAAACGAAACTCGTTTCTCTCTGTTTGCTGGAAAGTCTGGAAACCTCTGCTGGACGGGTTGATCAGCTTCACCCAGGCCTGGCGGTGGCTTCTGCTTGCCACTCAAACGTCGCACCTGGCTGCCATCGGCTGCCAAAACAGGACCCTGAGACATATTGAGATCAGACATGGGATCTGATCGTCTCCTCAACCACTCAATATATCTGTCTATACATTTTTATTGTGCTTCAGTCCGTGGAAACTCTGATGGCGCGCACAAACACTACAACCTTTAGTACGTCCATGCTCATGAATCCAGGATGAAGGAACATTCTTGACGTTTGAATATTCCACAGGCTCGATAATCCTAGAGGGCAGAGGTTCAGACATCTTTGCGGAGAGATCTTCAATGGAAACATCAGGCTGCATCCGGTCGAAAAAATGCAAAACAGATGGAGACAAGGAGATGTCCCACTCCAATGGGGAAACAATCTTAAAGCTCTTGCAAACAAAGAAACGTTCTTGCCCCCCAATGACAGTACAAACTACATCCCCCAATGAGTTGAACTCAGGTCGCAAATACGTTGCCTTCTCAAATCGGGAAATGCAATCTTTCTTCAAGCTAGCTGGCACCTCTGCAAGGACAAGGCTGCCAAACATGGTTGTTTTCCGGGTCGTCTCCCGACCAAGTGCAAGTGACTTTGGACTTTGTTTTGTATCTAAGTAACATGAGAAATAATTGGAGCAATGACATAAATATGCCAAAGCGGCATTCACAGCTGTCTGATTCCTGATGCAAACATCACAGCCATTCTCACGCAAGTCTTGCCGAAGAGTGTTGAACGCATCTTTAATGGCTCGGACTCCAGCCTCTGCTCCACCAATGGTCTGGTGACCTTGCGGCGGCGCTTTGACAAATGAAGCTGGCCTGTGGTTGATGGCACCTTTCATGAAACTTGAAACAGCTTCTTCTGCGTCCGTGATAATTTCAATTGGCTCGGAGCATTCTGTGGACATATTGAATTCGCCAAGCCAGGCCTGTATCCATCGGTGCGACAAACGAATGTCCGACTGGACAGGGGCCACGCCTTTCATTCCAGTGGTCAAATCTACCATGATTAGATACTTGAAAGACTCTTTGTTTGCTTTATCCAAGTTCAAGAAGAAAAAATCACATGCCATCTCACTGCTCAACACCGACTTCTTCTTTCTTCTGTGGTGAGTCGTGGACTTGGCTGCTTGGCAAGAAAGGCAATCTGCATGGAATGGAAAATGGCCTTGACGGCGGTGTTGTTCAAGCTTGGATTTATTCAAGTCTCGTTTTCGCAATACAGCTGGATGCTCTGAAGACTCTTCTGAAGGAATGGATGCAAATCCTGTGTTTGTGTCTACAATCATATTGGGCTCATAATCAAAAGGCTCGCTCGAATCCGGAACAGAGTTAGGCTCCACACTGAGGCTTTCACGGTATGGAGATTCACTATCGGAAACAGGCCTACTACTAACATATGCTGGGCTAGAAGAGGATGCAGCAGCGGGGTCAAGTTCTTCCAATGAAACATCTGGCTGTCTCTTGGTTGTCATCAACATGGATTTGTCAGTTTCGCTCAAATGCTCAACCGTGTTCACCGGACCATCATGGATTTTCCGACGGCTCCAAAATGTCTTCTGCAAATCGCGATCATCGGAAAAGTCCATGACCGTCTCAACTTCGTGAAAAATCCATGGCACATTCTGCCATGTCACCAAGTCCAAATTGTATCCTCCAAAGCACACTTCCAATTCACTTCCGGAACTGCTTAATGACCAACCCTTTCGCAGCAAGCTGCCCACTGACAAAACATTATTGGGAACATCTGCTACAAAAGCTGAAACTAAGCACTCTTTCAACATGGTGTCTGAAGGATCTTCTCTGGACGTCAAGCGGAAAAATGCTTTCAAGCAAACAAGGGAAGTTGGATGAATTGTCTCACCGCTTGCCGATGAAAACCCAGGGCCGGTTGCTGGTCCCAGCACTTGATTCTTTACTACTTTATAGTGTTTCAGGAAGCGAGAACTCACAACAGAGGCTGATGCTCCTGAATCAATGAGCCACCAGTGCAAATCTGATGGGACATCTGGCATCATTGGCATGAAAACTGCAGCTGACATGGTACAAACATGCTTGGTTTTACTCCACAAATCTGATGGGTTTCCAAAACATGAAAAATCAAAATCAGAAGAAAATTGTTCCTCCATGAGAAATGATCCGTGGACCAAATCGAACTGCTCTTCTGTGATCTGCTCTCGCTCAAACTGCACGATCGTGTCTTCAAACCAAGACTGAGTAGGCAAAATGGGATTCAAAGGGGCTGCTGCTTGCTTCGCAGCTGACGCACGGCTGCCATCTCCGTTGGAACCCTGACTTTCAGCTGGACCATTGGTAGGCCACGATTCGCCTTCAGGCTGCTCAAGCATTTCATTGACTTTCTTACCTTTGGATCCTTTGCCTTTTCCTTTGTTCTGAGGACCTGTGCTGGAACCTTTCTCTTCACCAGATCCCTTTCCATCTTTCTTTGGAGCGGGCTTCCCTTCAAGCGGCTTGCCATCCTTGTCTTTCTTGGCATGACAATTTGAAGAGAAATGGCCTGTGCGACCACATCGGAAACACGTGGCATTCCTTTCCTTCTCTGACTTTTCACCATTGCCCTTAGCTGCACCTTTATTTGAATCTTTTGCTTTCCCCTTTCCTTTCTTACCATCTTTGCTTTTGCCCTTTCCTTTCGGCTTGTCATTCGTGTCAAACATTCCATGCATGTAGGTGGCAGAACTGCTGCCTGCAATCTCTGTCCAAGTTCTCTGGTTGGCTTCGTACAACAAAGCGGCATTTTTCATTTGCACATAGTCATGGCTTGGGCTATGCATGACAACATATTCCCTCACACCAACAGGCAAGGATTTGATGAGGACCATCACCAAATCACTAGGGAGCAGGGCCAAATCGGAAGCTGGTACATTCGAGGGCAACATCCGAGCAAGCTTGTTGTACCGGCTCTCCTCGAACTCAATTTGCTTGATTACCTCTGTCACTGTTTGAGCTTTGAAAGTTCGGCCAAGCAAAGATGTGCGGAAATGCATCAACTCAGCACGAGTCTTGATCATGTATTCTTGGACAATCCTTCGCAAAGCCTCATACCCGTTCTTATCTCCAGGGCCTTCTACATAAGCAAGCAGAATGATTTTGGCTCGCGGAGTCATCTGGAAGGTCTGGCGAAGCATTGCCATGAGCCTGGAGCTTCGGGAAATCTGGTCAGTTGACAAATCTTTCTTGTCAATTGGCAGCGGAGAAGTCGCAGAAAACTTCACTTCTGTGCAAAATGGCTCTGAAATCAAAGATAGCCAATTGCAAAATGAATCGAGCCACTGTTCCATGCCCAAAATCTCCTCCATTCGGCTTTTCCACCGATTCGACTCGACCACGGGCATGCTAGGCAGCCACTTGTCGCTTCTCTGCAGCGCATCTAGCTGTGTGGATCCAGGAACTTTAGGACCCGCGGCATTTGACTGGCCGCCCAAGGGGATCTCCGTACCATCGGGTAAGACAATTTTTACCCCATGTCCAGTGCTTGAGCTCGCATTCACTGCAGTATTTGGCATCGCCGATGCAAGTCCACCTGCACCTTGCTGAGCATTCACTGGCAATTGGATGGGCGGGTCTTGTCCAGAAGTAAAAGGACTGGTTTCTCCCATGGCACCGAAGCGATCCTCATTGGCAGCCGCCACTGACTGAGAAGCACTTGGAGGGATTGGAACTCTTTGGGCTCGTAAATCATTCAGCTCATGCTGCTGACGCTCAAGGGTGTCAACAAGAGTTTTCTGGTGACCTGCAAGTTCTCGAACTGCCTTGCCAACTTCTGCTTGTAAAGTGTCCATGCTCATTCGGACTCGACTGAGTTGCTCCTCGAAGACAAAGGGGACGGAGGCGTTTGCACTTCCAGGGGCATATCCGGTTGTTGCAGGCAAAGAAACTCCTCTTCTCGTTTGAGAACGGCCTCTTGGTGACCTGTCTCTGGCCGGCTGCTCCATGGCTGCAAAATCAGATTCTGCTAGGTGTAGGTTCCAAGATCTCTTGTCAAGATCAGTTGTCTGTTGTCAATCCTGAACCCTGGAAAATCCTAGGAGAAAACCAATTCAGGGGGGTTCCTAGGAGCACACTGGCTCTCGCTACCATGCGAGAATTATCACCCCAGAAGAGTAGATAATTGCAACTGAGAATGTGGACAACTCTGCTTGACAACTCACGCCCTTTTTGTCTCACTGTGCTAGCAGAATTTACGCCTCCTAATCTTGAGCCAACATGTTGTTGGCGGAATGCTGATCTCATTGATCAAAGGAAGCACGATGCGGCTGAGCATGTTCACAATGCTGTGGCAACAGGGAGAGCTGAAAGCTTGGTTGCGGTCAAATTCTCTAATTGTTTCCAAACTCACATTCGGTTCAGACGTCATGTCTGCTTACTCTAGTTCGGAAAAAAAACTCTTGCAAATTTGCACGGCTCTCAAATTGGAAATGTGATCAAAAGCGGTTCAAAAACTTCGATCTCACAGATTGCTTGGACCCAGGAAACGCAAGACAATAGGAGATCATCAGGATGTTCAAAAAAGTCTCAACCGTGGAAACGTCGCAAAACGATTTCTGAGAAGCTTCAAACTCATAAGCTGTACCGCAGCTGATTATAAATTCCTCTTTCGCACGTCTAAATGTTTCTCCAAAATTGAAATCACTGTGTGAATTCCGCGTTCGAAATCTCAATGCTCTGTCAAAGATTGAAATCACTGTTCCGCGTTCGAAATCTGAACGCGCTGTCAGGAAAGTTGGAAATCAAGCTCTAAACTGCATACGACTTGCTCAAATCGCACAAAACGTGTCACATGCTATGCAGCAAAAGACACTTTCACAAATCTCTGAAATCACTTGAAAAATTCGGAGAAAATTATTCCAAGCTGGCAATGCAAGCTGAATGGCATAGGATGAGTTTACAGCATCATCAAGCAAGTTCAGCTTACTGTCTTGGAGGAGGTTGTAAAGAGTTTTGAGGTGTTCGGAGGAGCGCTCAAAGGGATTGATGGCATGCTGAAAACAAGCAAATCTCTAGATCCAAGTGTCATACTTAAATGGCTGTCGCTTTGCTCATGCATGTGGGTATGATTTGATATAGTATCACGTGAAGTCAAATAGACTTGAAGACTTTGCTAAAAGCAAGTTTGTTTTTTTTATGTTTTGTTGGGGCAACGTTTGCTTGTAGCTTGCAGCAAGTGATTAGTGATTGGTTGAGAGTCCGCCAGCGACCAGACAATGAATACGCATCGAAAGAGGTGTATGACATTCGCACCACCACCACCACCGCTACTGCTACTGCTACTGCTACTGCTAGTGCTAGTGCTAGTGCTAGTGCTAGTACTAGTACTAGTACTAGTGCTACTACTTTTCTTCTACTTGTTTTAGTACTACGAGCAGCACTTGCTACTGGATGTTATCAAAGAGCGAAAATCCTCACAACCGATAGGGGACGACCCAGTTTTGCCCGTGGCAATTACGGTGAACAAATAATTTTGTCCGCCACTCATATGTCCCTTCAGATCTGTCGACATATTTTTCAGGATACATGTCTTGAATGTGTCTTGCGGTGGGGATCATACGAAGCCAAGTAATCTATATAGGTAAAGCTTAGCTGGATAGGTCAAGAGGTTGAGCCAAACATTTTGTCAACTGTCGAGCTATTTGTTTTTGGAAGCGACAGTTTTTTTTTAAATTCAGAAAGCACCATCAAATAGGGATTTAACCAACGGATCATGTATATTTCCATGTGTAACATAGGCTATGCCTTGGTAAAAGTGCTAGTCAACACCGCACAAGCCAGAAATCTATGCCTCAAAAACCGTATAGCAAGCGGGACTCGGCGACCCGCTTTTCGGAAGGATCTCCGCAGTTATATGACAGAAACTGACTGAGTGAATGCAAATGGCCAAATCTTCCGGGGTAGAATGCGTGTATATATATTCACGCATTCTACCCCGGAAGATTTGGCCATTTGCATTCACTCAGTCAGTTTCTGTCATATATATATATGAGTCACATGTGTATATATATATACACTACATTTTGTACATATGCATTATATGAACGCAAAGCATCCATTTCATGTGTATGTACATATGTATATATATATATATACATATACATAGTCATGCTGGAGTAGATGGAATGTCCCACTAAAATGTGAATACCTTTGAACATCCCATATTCTATCTACTTCAGGATAGTCATCGAAGGAAGTTTAGAAGACAAACCTCGGACTTCCGACCTATGGACAGATGCAGCAACAGTGGTGAGAGCAGTCAGAGAAGAGAAAGAGTGAGAGGAGAAAGAGTCAGGTAGAAAGAAGATAATGATGTTGGCGAAAAGGTTGAAAAGTGGCGAAACACAATGTTTTTCCAATGTTTTGTGGGCCCGCTAAAGCGGCGGGTGCGGAGCCATCTGGTCGGATGAGAGATCAAAAATTGCAAGCGGCTGTTGGCACGCTATTGTCGGAGCACTTTTGGAAGTTGAGATGTTGAAAAAGTGCACGCCGTTGTGGTGCGAAGCACATTTCGAAGTCGAAACGTACAAAGCACCTCATGCTCGGAGCGCATTTGGAGGTTGAGATGTTAAAAAGTGCACGCCGCTGTGGCGAGAAGCACATTTGGAAGTGAAAAGTGTTAAAAACTGACAGCCTCGGATCGCTTTTGGACGTTGAGGTGTCAAAAAAGTGCACGGCGTTATGGTACGAAGAACACTTAGAAAGCAAAATTCGAAAAGCACACCATGTTCGGACCACTTTTGGAGGTTGAGATGTTGGAAAAATGCACGCCGTTGCGGCGCGAAGCAAATTTCGAAGTCGAAATGGGTCCATTTTGGATGTTCACCACTTTTTTTTTGTGGCAGGCGAAAGGGATTTTGCACCTTGCCATAAGGGAGCTAAACGTGAGGGCTTATTGCAACTACAATTACAGCTACACCACGACTACAACTACAACTACCATCACCACTACCACTACAAACCACTACCATGGCACTACAACTACAGCTACAACTGCGACTGCCACTACCACTACAACTACACTACACTACACTACGCCACACTAAACTACACCACACCAGCCTACACTACACCTACAGCTACAGCTACAACCCCAACTGCAACCCAACCGCAACTACAACTACAACTACACTTGCAGCTGCAGCTACAACTACACTGCACTAGACTAGGCTTCAGCTACCCTACACTACGCCACACTTTGCTAGACTACACTGCACTACAACTACAGCTACAGCTACGCTACAGCTACAACTACAGTAAATACAACTACAACTACAACTGCACGACACCAGGCTACAACTACACTACGCTACACATAGACCGACACCCACAACTAAAACGACACTAGGCTACAGCCACACAACTAAAACTACACTAGGCTACAGCCACACAACATTACACTACACCGCGGTACACCAGACACGGCAATACAACTACAACTACACTACAACTACAACTACAACTGCAGGTACACCTACAACTACAGCTACAACTACAGCTACAGCCACACTACACTACACACACTACACTACACTACGCTACGCAAGGCTACACTACACTACACGACACGACCAGACACGACACTACAGTACACTAGAGATAGGTGGATACGCAGAGAGAAGGTGACAGAGAGATTGAGAGAGAGAGAGAGACTCAGAGCCTCAACCGCTCAACCGCCTTTCAATTCACCAGTGGGTTCGCTCTGCCATCCATGCATCACAGCAACTCACCTTCTCCTATAGGTTTCCTACCTTTCAAACTTCCGCCACTGCCGTGTGCGGTCCTTCTGGGATACGCATACACAGTGTGTATAGTAGTTAGTTTCAAAGCTTTGAAAGACCCCATGGGGGGGAAGCCCTTTCCAGTTCGCAGCCATGGAGACCAGCCGTGTGCGCCGGGGTTTGCTTTCAGATGACTCCATGCTGAACTCAGAACTTGGAAGAAGACAGCTGCTTGGTGCATTCAGTCATTGGGGTTGCCACAAATGGGGTTTTAAAATGGAGATTATTATGAGGGTTCTTATGGGATCATACGTTGATTATTGGTGATTATGTAAAAAAAACATACATGATTTGATCATGATTGTCTTTAAAAGGGGAAACCAAGCGTACCGATCAATCAATGTAGTGTTAAGGGAAAATATAGACAGGTTTCCTGTAAAACGTGCCTTGCACCTACTGACCTAGTCCTGGTTTCTTGGGGTATCCATGGTGGGTAGTTCCAGGTAATCTTTATTTTCCATCCGCTTTGCTTTTACTTGGGTTGCCCCACCTGGAATTTTTCCACATCCATGTGTTTGGCAAGGTCCATTGATGGAGATGGTGATGGTAATTGTGGTGAGGATTTTGGTGATGATGATGATGATGATCATCATGATGATGATGATGACGCTGATGATGCTGATGATGATGAGTTGGGTGACCAGGGTGATGAGGATGATGGCGACGATGGTGATGTTGATATTGAGGGTGATGAAAATATGGTGATGATGAGGATGATGATGAAGCAGACGAAGAAGTTTAAAAAAAGAAGACAAAACATAAGAAGAATTAGAAGAAGAACAAGAGGAAAACAAAAATAGAAAGATCAGGCAGAGAAGAAACAATAAAACAAGAAGATGAAACAGATGCGGATGATGAAGATGATAAGGATGATGATGACAATGATGATGATGGTGATGATGATGATGAAGATGATGATGTTGATGGTGATGATGAATATGATGATGATGATGATGATGATGATTGATGACGGTGGTGATGATGATGATGGTGATGATGATCGATGGCAATGATGATGATAATGATGATGATGATGAATGATGATGATGATGGTGATGATGCTGCTGCTGCTGATGATGATGATGATCATGATTGATGACGATGATTGCGATGAGGAAGAGGATGATGAGGGTGGCCAGGATGATGATGATCGTGATGATGGTGATCATCACGATGGTTATGGTGATATGGTGATGGTGATGGTGATGGTGATGGTGATGATGATGATGATGATGATGATCATGATTTGGAGGAGGATAACGTTGGGGACGATGATGTTGAGGATGATGAGGTGCAGGAGGGTGATGCAAGAGGATGAAGAGGTTGAGGATGATGATGTTGAGGAGGACGGGGATGCTGATGATAATGCGGAAGATGAAGTGGAGGATGATAAGGTGGATGATGATGATGTTGAGGCGGAGGAGGAGGATGTTGAGGATGATAATGTTGAAGAAGATGACGAAAAGGATGATAATGTTGATGTTGCGGAAGATGAGGTGGAAATTGATGATGTGAATGATTGTCTCTGTTCCCCACCTTTCCCATGCCAGCCCCAAGGCCGCGAAGATTCCCATCTGCCTCGCATGCGTCTCCTGAACCAAGAGCGGAAGGAAAGTCTTTGGAGATAAAAGGCTTGGATGGATCCAGCTTTCAGCTCAGGTTTACGATGATGCGACCGTCGAAGATGTGTACAAATACATCTCAGAAAAAATTGGGTTGAAACCAGGCAGGAAGTTGGTGCTGACTTCAGGCTGCATTTTGCTGCATCATTCTAGACAGCTGCTGCAGCAGGCGCAAGGAGGGGAAATTAGTTTCATTGTCCAAAGAAGCAGAATGACTTTGCAAAATACTTGTGGAATGCCATCGAAGCTGAGACCACAGCAAGTCTGACTGCTAGAGATATGAACGCATTACAAGAAAATGCAATTGTTTTAATTCACTTTGGCAAACGTTTCAATCGGAGTTTGGCTGGTGTCACATTGCCAAACAGCCTGCAGACCTTGACCATTGGAAATGGGTTCAATCAGAGTTTGGCAGGTGTCACATTGCCAAGCAGCCTAATCAGAGTTTGGCAGGTGTCACATTGCCAAGCAGCCTGCAGACCTTGACCTTTGGGGTTGAGTTCAATCAGAGTTTGGCAGGTGTCACATGGCCAAGAAGCCTGCAGACCTTGACCTTTGTCTGGCGGTTCAATCAGAGTTTGGCCGGTGTCACATTGCCAAGCAGTTTGCAGACCTTAACCTTTGGATATTCTTTCAATCAGAGTTTGGCAGGTGTCACGTTGCCAAGCAATTTGCAGACCTTGACCCTTGGGAATGGGTTCAATCAGAGTTTGGCAGGTGTCACATTGCCAAGCAGCCTGCAGACCTTCGTTTTTGGTCGTCGTTTCAATCAGAGTTGGGCAGGTGTGACATTGCCAAGCAGTTTGCAGACCTTGACCTTTGGTTGGCGCTTCCATGGGGGTTTCGCTTGACCTTTGGGGCTGAGTTCAATCAGAGTTTGGCTTGCCTGGCAATGATCGCCAGGCAAGCCAAACACTGATTGAAAAGACCACCAAAGGTCAAGGTCTGCAGGCTGTGTCACATTGCCAAGCAGCCTAAAGACCTTGACATTTGGATATTTTTTCAATCAGAGTTTGGCAGGTGTTGCATTGCCAAGCAGCCTGCAGACCTTGACCTTTGGGGCTGAGTTCAATCAGAGTTTGGCTGGTGTCACATTGCCAAGCAGCCTGAAGACCTTGACTTTTGGGATAGGTTCAATCAGAGTGTGGCAAGTGTGATATTGCCAAGCAGCCTGCAGAACTTGACATTTGGATATTTTTTTCAATCAGAGTTTGGCAGGTGTCGTGTTGCCAAGCAGCTTGCAGACCTTGACCTTTGGCCGGTGGTTCAATCAGAGTTTGGCAGGTGTCACATTGCCAAGAAGCCTGCAGACCTTGACCTTTGGCCGGCGGTTCAATCAGAGTTTGGCAGGTGTGACATTGCCAAGCAGCCTGCAGACCTTGACCTTTGGCCGGCGGTTCAATCAGAGTTTGGCAGGTGTGACATTGCCAAGCAGCCTGCAGACCTTGACCTTTGGCCAGCGGTTCGATCAGAGTTTGGCAGGGGTGACATTGCCAAGCAGCCTGCAGACCTTGACCTTGGCCAGCGGTTCGATCAGAGTTTGGCAGGGGTGACATTGCCAAGCAGTCTGCAGACCTTGACCTTTGGCCAGCGGTTCGATCAGAGTTTGGCAGGGGTGACATTGCCAAGCAGCCTGCAGACCTTGACCTTGGCCAGCGGTTCGATCAGAGTTTGGCAGGGGTGACATTGCCAAGCAGTCTGCAGACCTTGACCTTTGGCCAGCGGTTCGATCAGAGTTTGGCAGGGGTGACATTGCCAAGCAGCCTGCAGACCTTGACCTTTGGCCAGCGGTTCGATCAGAGTTTGGCAGGGGTAACATTGCCAAGCAGCCTGCAGACCTTGACCTTGGCCAGCGGTTCGATCAGAGTTTGGCAGGTGTCACATTGCCAAGCAGCCTAATCAGAGTTTGGCAGGTGTCACATTGCCAAGCCGCCTGCAGACCTTGACCTTTGGGGTTGAGTTCAATCAGAGTTTGGCAGGTGTCACATTGCCAAGAAGCCTGCAGACCTTGACCTTTGTCTGGCGGTTCAATCAGAGTTTGGCCGGTGTCACATTGCCAAGCAGTTTGCAGACCTTAACCTTTGGATATTCTTTCAATCAGAGTTTGGCAGGTGTCACATTGCCAAGCAATTTGCAGACCTTGACCCTTGGGAATGGGTTCAATCAGAGTTTGGCAGGTGTCACATTGCCAAGCAGCCTGCAGACCTTCGTTTTTGGTCGTCGTTTCAATCAGAGTTGGGCAGGTGTGACATTGCCAAGCAGTTTGCAGACCTTGACCTTTGGTTGGCGCTTCCATGGGGGTTTCGCTTGACCTTTGGGGCTGAGTTCAATCAGAGTTTGGCTTGCCTGGCAATGATTGCCAGGCAAGCCAAACACTGATTGAAAAGACCACCAAAGGTCAAGGTCTGCAGGCTGTGTCACATTGCCAAGCAGCCTAAAGACCTTGACATTTGGATATTTTTTCAATCAGAGTTTGGCAGGTGTTGCATTGCCAAGCAGCCTGCAGACCTTGACCTTTGGGGCTGAGTTCAATCAGAGTTTGGCTGGTGTCACATTGCCAAGCAGCCTGAAGACCTTGACTTTTGGGATAGGTTCAATCAGAGTGTGGCAAGTGTGATATTGCCAAGCAGCCTGCAGAACTTGACATTTGGATATTTTTTTCAATCAGAGTTTGGCAGGTGTCGTGTTGCCAAGCAGCTTGCAGACCTTGACCTTTGGCCGGCGGTTCAATCAGAGTTTGGCAGGTGTCACATTGCCAAGAAGCCTGCAGACCTTGACCTTTGGCCGGCGGTTCAATCAGAGTTTGGCAGGTGTGACATTGCCAAGCAGCCTGCAGACCTTCTTTGGCCGGCGGTTCAATCAGAGTTTGGCAGGTGTGACATTGCCAAGCAGCCTGCAGACCTTGACCTTTGGCCAGCGGTTCGATCAGAGTTTGGCAGGGGTGACATTGCCAAGCAGCCTGCAGACCTTGACCTTGGCCAGCGGTTCGATCAGAGTTTGGCAGGGGTGACATTGCCAAGCAGTCTGCAGACCTTGACCTTTGGCCAGCGGTTCGATCAGAGTTTGGCAGGGGTGACATTGCCAAGCAGCCTGCAGACCTTGACCTTGGCCAGCGGTTCGATCAGAGTTTGGCAGGGGTGACATTGCCAAGCAGTCTGCAGACCTTGACCTTTGGCCAGCGGTTCGATCAGAGTTTGGCAGGGGTGACATTGCCAAGCAGCCTGCAGACCTTGACCTTTGGCCAGCGGTTCGATCAGAGTTTGGCAGGGGTGACATTGCCAAGCAGCCTGCAGACCTTGACCTTGGCCAGCGGTTCGATCAGAGTTTGGCAGGGGTGACATTGCCAAGCAGTCTGCAGACCTTGACCTTTGGCCAGCGGTTCGATCAGAGTTTGGCAGGGGTGACATTGCCAAGCAGCCTGCAGACCTTGACCTTGGCCAGCGGTTCGATCAGAGTTTGGCAGGGGTGACATTGCCAAGTAGTCTGCAGACCTTGACCTTTGGCCAGCGGTTCGATCAGAGTTTGGCAGCCTGCAGACCTTGACCTTTGGCCAGCGGTTCGATCAGAGTTTGGCAGGGGTGGCATTGCCAAGCAGCCTGCAGACCTTGACCTTGGCCAGCGGTTCGATCAGAGTTTGGCAGGGGTGACATTGCCAAGCAGTCTGCAGACCTTGACCTTTGGGAATGAGTTCGGTCAAAGTTTCGCAGGCACCACCTTGATCCAAGTAGCCTGCAGGCTTTGACTCTTGGGTTGCTGTGGATTTTTTTTGGGCCGCAGTTCATTGTCCCCATAGTGTTCAACAAATTTGTTGGCCTGGAGCAGCCGCAGAAACGACAGGTCAGTGGAAGACGCATGTTTGACGGATGCACTGCTTGGACCTTTTCGAAGACCAAAAACGGGGAGATGGGATGGTCAATGCGGAAGACTGTTTGTAGATTAACCAAACCATTGCGGTACACATCGTAGGCTTTGGTCACAGATTGGCAGATCATTTTCGGGATCTTGAACTAGGCATGATCTGTCGGGATACCCAGTCACTGGATCGTGAAAACCATTTTTCTGGACCCCATGAAAGGTGCATTGCTTGGGCCGCTGAGCCCTGTTGAAAGGTGCTTGGATATCGTGGGTGGTCAAATCCCCTTTCGTGTCGGTGAAATGCACCCATGTTGATTGGTTGAATCCTCATCTTTGTGGGTCAAAGATAGATAGAGAAAGCTGGAAAATGTTGGAAATATAGATAAATATTACCTTTCCCACCCTGGTTGCGCACTTTTCGGCCTCTTTTGGGGCCAAGAATTGGTCGCTAGGCTCTGCTGCAAAATTGGCGCCCTGACCTTGTGCTTCGTTGGGACTTGCGCCCGGCAGCTCGGTGGGCCCGGGCAAGGAGGGAGACCCCAAATTTTATGGCAAATTTACAGGAGAAAATGATGAGAAAATGATGAGCAACCCAAGATGGTGCCCCCTTTTTCTTAGCTAAGTTGCTAAACATAGCTCTAAGAACTAGGGTTTAAGGTACATATATCATGAAATATCTAGAGTTCATGAGATTGTAAGCCAACATAACTGTGGAGCCCCTTCCTGTTGGTGACGATTAGGCCTTGACCCTGCTGAAGGGTGGTGGTCGCATGGCCTCCCCCTTCGGTACCTTGGAACGGCGGAAGAACGGTGGGGGATTGTGCTCAAAATATGCTGATGTGGCTTGGATCGCCTATATCTATATAGTTCTATATGCGTAAATATACTATACCTATATACCTGGATCTATGTTTATATCTGTATAGTTCTATATGCGTATAAACATACTATACCTGTACCTGTATCTATGTGAATACCAGTAGTACCGCACAAGGCGGTGGCGGAAGTTTCAAAAATAGGAAACCTACAGGAGAGGTTGGTTGTTGCGAATCACGGATGGCAGAGGGAATCCGCTGCTGGATTGAAAGGTGGTTGAAGTTGTGTTTTTTGGAGTGGTTGCAATGGTTGCAGTGGTCACCTCACCGCAACTGCTGGATGTAGTGTGGTGTAGCGCAGTTGTAGTTGTAGTTGTTGTAGTGTAGTGTAGCGGAGTTGTAGTTGTAATGTAGTGTATTTAGTGTAGTGTAGTTGCAGTTGTAGTTGTGGTGTGGTGTAATTAGTGTAGTGTCGTGTACTGTAGTGTAGTGTACTGTAGTTTGGTATGGTGTAGTATAGTCTAGTGTAGTGTAAAGTAGTGTAGTTGTAGTTGTCGTGTAGTGTAATATAGTGGTAGTTGTAGTTGCAGTTGTAGTTGTAGCTGTAATGTAATGTAGTAGTGTAGCGTAGTGTTGTGTAACGTAGGGAAGTTGTATTTGTAGTTGTAGTGTTCTGCAGTGTAATTAGTGTAGTGTAGTGTAATGTAGTGTAGTTAAAAGTTATAATTGTAGTTGTAGCTGTGGTGGTGGTGGTAGTAGTAGTAGCAGCAGTAGTAGTAGTAGTTGTTGTTGTAGTTGTTGTAGCTGTAGTTGTACTTAGTGTAGTGTAGTGTAATTAGATGCACTTAGTGTAGTGTAGTGTGATTAGTGTAGCGTACTGTAGCGTATATGTGTATCTGTAGTTGTAGTAACAGCGTAGTGTAGTTGTAGTTGTATATCTGTCTATCTGCAAACTTGAAAACGAAGCTATTCTGCGAGACTTCCTCAGTTTGAACTTGACAACATCAAAAACGCAGCAATTCTGGGAGACTTCCTCAACTTTTGAACTTGATAACGTCAAAGAGGAAGCAATTCTGCGAGACTTCCTCAATTTTTGAACTTGACAACATCAAAAACAAAACAATTCTGTAAGACTTCTTCAATTTTCGAGGTTGACAACATCAAAAACGAGCAATTCTGCGAGACTTCCTTCAAAAGTGAAAAGTTGAGTGCAGAGCTGGCGGCCTCGTACCAATGCGGTTTGGCGATTTTTCCAGTCCATGTCTCTGAAGTATTGCGCCTGCCACGAAAAAGTGATGCCAGGTCATACAAAGTGCTGCACCTGTCACACAAAATCATCTTCCCAAAACTGAAGATCTGATGCTCCAAAATGCAAGCCCTCTCAGGAAATCAGCGCCCTGACCTCCTAACATCTCTGATGAGCATGTCTGTCTCTTGTACTGCGCCTGCCACGGAAAATGTATCCTTCCAAATCCCCTTCAAATGTCCCACGCCTGCCATCGTTTTTGGAAATGCTAGAAAACCATCACGTTTTGCTCACTTTTGACAAGGTGCACAATTCTTTGCGCCGGCCACGCGAAACGACATCTGAACGTCCAAAAGTGCTCCGTACCCGTCAGTTTTTTGCACTTTTGACTTGGAAATGTGCTTCTCGCCACAACATCGTCACTTTTTCGACATCTGAACTTCCAAAAGTGCTCCGATCCTGGTGTGCTTGGTACATTTTGACTTGGAAATGTGCTTCGCGCCACAACGGCGTGCACTGTTTCGACATCTCAACTTCCAAAAGTGGTCCGACCCTTTTGTACATTTTGACTTGGAAAGGTGCTTCGCGCCGCAACGGGGTGCACTTTCTCATCTTTCATCTGGCCGCATGGCTCCGCACACGCCGCTTTAGCGAGCCTACTTTTCGACCTTCCGTGACTTTTCTACCCTTTCGCGCACCTGCATCTTCTTTCTTCTCACTCTTTCTCTTCTCTGATCTTCTCTCTTCGGCTCTTCTCTTCTCTGACTCGTCCCACCTCTGCTTTTCCATCTGTCCATATTGTCGGAAATTTGACTTCTAAACTTCCTTCGATAAATATATACAAATTGATTTTCTCTATAAATGATTGTCGATCAAAAGGTCCATGTAGAGATAGGCCGCCAGGGTTCCAACATGAGACCCCGCGAAAGTTTTTCTCTGAGTTCGCGAAAGTAGTTTTATTTTGGCGAAAGATTTGGTGAAAGATTATAACATGAGACCCCCGCGAAAGATAAACGTCGGGTTCGGGAAAGATTCGCGAACGTAGTCTTTTTTTCGCGATGAATGGCCGTTTGCAGATAAAGGAATTTGGATCAAACCGCCAAATATGCATATATAGATTCATTATATCTCATTTTTTTCTTTGTGCTGATTGGTTCAAATACAGTATAAGACTGGAAATCGGTGATCACAATGGTGCCTGAACATCGGATGGTTTTAAGCCTGGCCGGTTCATGTGCGAGTCCTTGGGTCATTCAGTCATTGAGTACCTACTGGAGTCACTGGAGCTACCGACTTCGATGTTCAGTGGATCAGCTGAATGCTAATGTGGTAAACCCAATAATAAAGAGACCATTTCATTCACAAACCATTGGAAGGTCAGTTGACATCATCCCAAATAAGGCTATACCCAATAGTAAACCTCTATTGGGGATGGTTTTTTATAGTTATCCCATAATTAATAATTACGCATGACAATCCCAACATTATACTATTAGTAGCGCATAAATATCCTACTATATCCGATAATTATTGGGTTTACCACATTATGTGGCAATGTGAAATCCATGCCTGTTTTTCCACCAAAGAACTATTCATGCAGCTAATCCAACAAACATGGGAGTGGCAATGGCACAGGTGTTCCCAGCTCAACTGATTGCGGGGAGATATGTCACCTAGACAAAGCTGAACGTGTCGCAGATGATTTATATTACCAGGTAGTGCCCGGCACGCCGCGGGGCGGAAGTTTCGAAAATAGGACATGGCTACAGGAACCAGTTTGCTTATAGGAATTCTTGGTGAGTTGGAAAGAAGTGAAGTGAAATGAAATGAAATGCAGGAAATGAATGTGAATGAGTTGAAATGAACGAATTGAAATTAATGAATTGAAATGAATTACTTGAAATTAATGACTTGCCCAAAGTGGTCCGAAACCCTCAGTTTTTTTTAACGTTTTTTTATGTGAAATCGAGCTCTCACTACAGTCTCGTGCACCTTTTGCCGACCTCATCTTCCACAAGTGCTCCGGTCCCCTCAGATTTTTACGGTTTTATGTGATCAGCTAATGATGTGAATGACATATGAAATCGAGCTCTCGCTGCAGTCTCGTGCACCTTTTGTCGACCTCATCTTCCAAAAGTGCTCCGAGCCCCTGAGTTTTTTAACATGTCCAAGTGGAAATCGATCTCTCGCTACAGTCTCGTGCACCTTTTGCCGACTTCATCTTCCAAAAGTGCTCCGGACCCGACGGTTATTTTTAATGATTTTTATGTGAAACCGAGCTCTTGCTACAGTCCTGTGCGCATTTTGTCGACCTCATCTTCCAAAAGTGTTCTGACAGTTTTTTACGATTTTTACGTGAAATCGAGCTCTCGCTACAGTCCCGTGCACTTTTTCGCGACTACTTTCCCCGATCGAGCCGCGAAACCAGGGAAACAGAGACCCTCCTTCGGCGACCACGGCAGCCACTTTACCCCAAAAAAACAGGGTTGCGCGCCCGACAGTGTTTTCAAACCTGAATTCACGCGTTCCCGATCTCTCACACTTCCCAGCTAGTTGCGTGATGATGTGGTTGCCATGATGATTGAGATGATGATGTGGTTGCCATCATGGTGAGAAAACTGGCCATGACAATCGTTCGTAATTCGGAAGTTTCCTAACTAGGTTTCCTTTAAAACATATACGTATACATTAATTTATAATATATATGATATCATATATGATATGTCATAGTATAGTATATAGCTAAGATGCATGGACAGCCAATGACAAAGACATGAATGGACAAACACGTGGAGCCAGGCCATTTCACCGAAAGGGAAATATTGGACTGGCATCCCATAAAGCCAAGAGGGAACCCCGTCAACATCTCTTAGACCATTTTTATTTCCATTCAAAAATTGTTAGAATTTAAAATGTTAGAATCTCTTAGACCATCATTTCCCGCTGCTAAAATTCCGAGGCTGTCTCAGATTTCCTTGACTTGGGGAGCAGTTGGCCACCATGTTTTCCTTTGATTTCCGGGAAAAAACGCAAAAATCCGTTCCCCCTACCAAAATCAAGCCTTCCCAGGTTTATTTCTCCATAGTAACTTTAGCAATGTGGTAAACCCCATGACATAAAGCATCCCCAAAATATCACCATTTTTATGGGTGGAATTTCAACCATCCCCAAATGGTAGGTTTCTTATTGGGTCCCCAAGGCTTCGAGTGTGGCTCCGTGGGTTTCTGGCTGCTGTACTTCGGCGCAGTGCCGTGGGTGCTGGCGTTCGCCTTTGGCTTTAGGCCGATTCTTGAACCCATGGAACTGGTGTGTTTTGGTTTGTATCAACGACAAGACATTAAAGCAAAAAAGTGTTCATCCGGTAATCAAACATAGCAATGGAAAAGCCCCCATTTGTAGATTATTTTCCTGTTAAAACCTCAGTTTATAGGGGATTTCCTGCCATGTTTGAATACCAGAGGGTTTGTGAAAGGGGCGAGGATTCTTTGAAGTTGGTGGTTCCACCAACCAAATGTGGGAGATCACTTTGGGCCAGCAAACACGGCTAGTGGACCAGTTGCACAGCATATGACTGAGTAATCTCAGCACAGCCACATAGTAAGCAACAATAAGCAACAAGAATGCAAAGAGAAGCATTCGGGAAAAAGTGTTGAATTGAATTACATTTTAATTACTCTTTGGATCTATTCGGTTCATTTCCTACTATATAGTCCCAATGAAGTTTCGAGACTTGCTGGATTTGGCCTCGGTTCCCAAAGTGGAAGCCTGGAAGCTGCGGATTGCTCAGCAGGGTTCAGGCTTAATGCAGCAAAACCGGAATCCCACAAAAGATGGAAAGCGTTCCATTCATCAAAAATCAGGGAAATTTACCAACTTCTATCTTAATTTTGGGTCGACAAATATGCTTCCCATCTCAATTTTTGGAAAGAAACCACTTTCGACCTCGCTGTGGTCAGGCAACTGCTTGTGTCAGAGTTTGAACAGAAAGTCCAGCAGGGCTACTCTTTCGCTGCTGGTGAGGCCTGGTCATGGAACCGCCGCACTGCGGCCGAAGCCTGGAATCATGCTTAGGATTTCGGGAATTATCTCTAGCCGAAGCTTTTCAGGTTAGTGAGTTATTCTAATTAACCCAGATATTAGTTAATTTCCCAAATCATCCATTTTAGATGCAAAATAGCTATGGGCCATCTAATTGGAAGTTTTGTGAATAAGCATGGTGGAAATAGGTTGAAATGATCGGTTTGAACAGCGAATCGCTATGGGTCCCCTGATTGGGGGCCCCCATCCTTCGGTGGGCTGGTTGCTGCCCTTCCCCACTTTGGCAGATGAACAAACGGTCCATAAAGCCATGTTCGAAGAAAATCGAACCTGTATAATTACCCTCTAATCAAAGATGGCTTGCTGGAAGATACACTATTTGTAGGTGATTTTCCTATTGAATCCCCCATTTCTAGTGGATTTCCCAGGCGAACCGTCGGGTACCCCGCCACAGGTCCGCTGGGATTCCCGGAACACCGTGCTGTATCCCTTGCTCTGTGCCATTGCCGGCCTGTTCCTCGACCAGCAGTGGGTGCCAAGCTGGGCCAAGATAAGGACTCAGGAAGGTCATGTTGTATTTTTTTGTAAATAATGGACATGTTTTTTCACTCAGTGGGACTCAATAACGAAGACCTGTTTTAAGTGGGACTCAATATTTTTCCTTTTTGTGTTTTAAGCAGACACATTATGAAAAAGGGACATCAGAAAGTGTGTGCCTAAAAATGGCGTATACCGTATACCCCCAAACAGCATCAAACCGCAATTTCAATCGGCAGATTCAGAGGTTGCCAATTTGCAGAGAAATCAGAAAGTCAAAAAGCATCAGACATTTTCCACGGCCTTTCGTGTAAGGGGTCAAACGTTTTTTTTTCAATGGGCCTTGAATCTAGACCAGAAATTTGAATTTTGCTTGGCAGTTTCTCCAGGCCTGGTACTGGAGTCTACTCAGCAGTCTTGTTGATTTCCCGGATTGTTGCTTATATATCATTTGGATGTGGGTCAAAATGGAAGACCGATGTGGGACCACAGATGTGAATGTCTAGTTTAGTATTAACCATCCATAATTTTGGGGTACCTAATTTTGACCCATACCCATTTTTCATTCTTTCCAACAGTGGAAACCATGGAAACTACTGGATTTTTCCCTCAGATCCAAGGACTGAAGTCTCCAACTAAGGAGTTTGTCTGAGGGTAGCCTCCAAAGTTGATGGTCAATCAGCATTTGTCCTATTCAAATAGATATTTTGGTGGTACACTCCATTTTCAGACACAACCAAGTATCTGATTGTTGGGTATACACCGCCTTATATCTCTATTACATCCCAATTAGCTGCCTAGTTTTGTTGGATATATATATATATACGGATATATCAATTACTCATTGCTTAACTCCATATCATTGATGGTTATACTATCTTAATCCCATATTTATCGGTATTTGTTGTATATCCACTGTATATCCCCATTATTGAAATCATTATTGCTTGTGAATATTCACAGACATGTGCCCTGGTCAAAAGATGGATTATAAATTATTGGATGATGGTCATCAATCCATTTTCATAGGGATTTTTTGATACCCATTGTAGGGATTTCCAGGTTGAATCTCCATAATATCCCACTATGATATCCCCAGTACTGAAGATTCACACCATTGAGTCCCACAATTGTTGTTTTTAAGTGGGACTACACACCATTGTTTTAAGTGTTACAAGAGTGGGACTCAATATCATAAACTTCAATATCATATCATCAGTAGAATGTTCATCAGTATTGCCCACTTATCAGTGTAATGTCCATATGATCATAAAATCCTGCATATTATATCGATATCATCAGTATAATCCCTTCCCCTAATATTAAACACCCCCGAAACGAAACCATGGTTTAGTAGGGAATTTCCACATAATTGGGACCATGTATAAGGTGTTTAATATCAGTATCCATAAATGGGGGATCTCCAAAATGGCTGGTTTTATAAATGGATGATTGAGGGGTACCCCCATTTTAGGATATCATCCATTTTAATAGGATTTTCTCTATAAACAATCCTTATTTTTGCGGTACCCCCATGACTACGGAAACCCCCATCGATCTCATCGGTAGAAACTCATGTTCTATCCTTTTATAAGCCATAGTAACTATATATCTACTAAACATCCTAGTTGATGGAGCTATACTCCATCAGTAGAATGTCACAAGCCAAGAAACATGGCTAAGTTGATCAATATAACTTCAATCATCCATGGTTTTTCCATGGTTTTTCCATAGTTTTTCCATAGTTTTCCAAGTTTTCTATGGTTTTTCCATAGTTTTCCAAAGTTTTCCATGGTTTTTCCAAAGTTTTCGAAGGTTGGCGGGCCTCTTTGGCGTGGGCGGCGGCATCGTGAAGGGTCCACTGATGTTGGAGATGGGCATCACGCCGTGGCTTGGATTTTTCCATGGGAAAGCCATAGAAGCCGGGGGTATTTACCATGGGAAAACCATGGGAAAACCATGGAAAACCATGGAAAACCATGGGAAAACCATGGAAAACCATGGAAAACCATGGAAAACCATGGAACACCATGGAAAACCATGGGAAAACCATGGAAAACCATGGAAAACCATGGGAAAACCATGGAAAACCATGGGAAAACCATGGAAAACTTTGGAAAACTATGGAAAACTATGGGAAAATCATGGAAAACCATGGAACAACTATGAAAACAAGATGCAGCCCACGAACCCGAATGCTCACACGTATGTTAATGGTACAGATGTCAAAGCATATGGATATGCAGTCACGCACAACGCTTTTCTGCAATAGTCTATTTGAACAGTCTTGTACATATTTCCCCTGTTACCAGTCTGCAGTGTGGAGTGGAAAGTGTAGAGTGTGGAGTGTGGAGTGAGGGATGTGGAGTTTGCAAATTGTGGAGTGTGGAGTGTAGAGTGTCGAGTGTGGAGTGAGGGGTGTGGAGTGTGGAGTGTGGAGTTAGAGTGGGAAGTGTGGAGTGTGGAGTGTAAAGTGAGGAGTGTAAAGTGAGGAGTGTCAAGTGAGGAGTGTAAAGTGAGGAGTGTAAAGTGTGGAGTGTGGAGTGTCATGTGTGGAGTGTAAAGTGTGGAGTGTAGAGTGTGGAGTGTAAAGTGTGGAGTGTCATGTGTGGAGTGGAAAGTGTAGAGTGTGGAGTGTGGAGTGTAAAGTGAGGAGTGTGGAGTGTAGAGTGTGGAGTTGGGAGTGTAAAGTGTAGAGTGTGGAGTGTGGAGTGTGAAGTGTGGAGTGTAAAGTGAGGAGTGTGGAGTGTAGAGTGTGGAGTCTGGAGTGAGGAGTGTAAAGTGTAGAGTGTGGAGTGCAAAGTGTAGAGTGTGGACTGTGGAGTTTAGAGTGCAAAGTGTAGAGTGTGGAGTGTGGAGTGTAGAGTGTGGAGTGTGGAGTGTAAAGTGAGGAGTGAGGAGTGTAAAGTGTGGAGTGTAAAGTGAGGAGTGTGGAGTGAGGAGTGTAAAGTGTAAAGTGTGGAGTGTAAAGTGTGGAGTGTAAAGTGTGGAGTGTGGAGTGTAAAGTGTGGAGTGTGGAGTGTCAAGTGTGGAGCGTAGAGTGCGGAGTGTGGAGTGCGGAGTGTGGAGTGTAAAGTGAGGAGTGTGGAGTGTAGAGTGTGGAGTGTGGAGTGAGGAGTGTAAAGTGTAAAGTGTAGAGTGTCGAGTGCAAAGTGTAGAGTGTGGAGTGTAGAGTGTGGAGTGTGGAGTGTAAAGTGAGGAGTGTGCAGTGTAGAGTGTGGAGTGTGGAGTGAGGAGTATAAAGTGTAGAGTGTCGAGTGCAAAGTGTAGAGTGTGGAGTGTGGAGTGTAGAGTGTGGAGTGTGGAGTGTAAAGTGAGGATTGTGGAGTGTAAAGTGTGGAGTGAGGAGGGAGGAGTGTAAAGTGTAAAGTGTGGAGTGTAAAGTGAGGAGTGTGGAGTGTAAAGTGAGGAGTGTGGAGTGTAAAGTGTGGAGTGTAAAGTGAGGAGTGTGGAGTGTAAAGTGTAGAGTGTGGATTGCAACGTGTGGAGTGTGGAGTGTGAAGTGTAAAGTGTGGAGCGAGGAGTGTGGAGCTTCCCCCATGGACACGGCGACGCCACAGGAAAGCCAGAGACTCGAGACAAAACACATGGATGCAGCAAAACACATTTTTCGTACGAGACTTCCGCCAATTTTGACAGTTTCGATACGTTATCAAACAGATTGGAATGTCACAAAGTGCCACGCCTGCCACGCAAAACGACATGACAACATGCTTGGAAACCTTCGAAAAGGAGAGGTTTTGCAGCTTCCCCCATAGACACGGCGATGCCACAGGAAAACCAGCGACCCGAGACGAGACACGTGGATGCAGAAAAACGAGCATTTTGTACGAGACTTCCGCCAATTTTGACATTTTCGACACGTTATCAAACAGGTTGGAATGTCACAAAGTGCCACGCCTGCCACGCAAAACGACATGACAACCTGCTTGGAAACATGCCAAAAGGAGAAGTTTTGCAGCTCCCCCCATAGACACGGCGATGCCACAGGAAAACCAGAGACTCGAGACGAGACACGTGGAAGCACCAAAACGAGCATTTCGTGCGAGACTTCCTCCAATTTTCACAATTTGACACAGCCCGAAAGGACATGTTTTGCAGCTTCCCCCATAGACACGGCGAGGCCACAGGAAAACCAGAGACTCGAGTGGGAGCATCAAAACGAGCATTTCGTGCGAGACTTCCTCCAATTTTCACACTTTGTAGCTTCAAAATCGACGTTTTCCTACGAGTTTTCCTAGGAACCTCTAAATTCTGCAACCTCAAAATCGATGTTTCGTGCGAGGCTTCCGTCAATTTTCAGCACATGTCACAAAATGCCACGCCTGCCACGGAATTTACACCTTGTCGCCACTTGACGCAGCCCTGCCAATGCGATTTGCGAAAAACACGCAACACGACACATCTAAAGTGCTGCGCCTGCCACGAAAAATGACCATGGACACGTCCAAAGTGCTGCTCCTGCCACGAAAACTGCAAGACATTTTCTAAAAACGTCGCAAAAGTATTGCGCCTGCCACGCAAACGACTTTCGACACGTTACAAAACACGTCTGAATGTCACAAAGTGCCACGCCTGCCACGCGAAACGAAGCAACGACGCGTTGGAAACGTCCAAAACGGACCACCTCTGCAGAACTTCCTATAGGCACGGCCATACGGCCCTCACGCGAACGGTTGCGGACGGTTGCGGACGGTTGGGCAACGTCCAGCGAACACACCCTCAACCCCCAGACCCCCAGAGTGAAACGGGAACCCTTGCTACGCATTCGGGAAAAAACATGGAATTCGGTAAATGGAATGGGAGTTCGTTTGGATTTATTGAGAAAGTGAGAAATTGGGGAAGTTGCGATGTTGATTCTGTCAGCTTGATGGGAAGATGAAGAGGAAAGCCATTGAATTTTGCTCGGAATTTTGCTGGGAGAGATGGAATTAGTTTGATTGGGATGAACCAGCAATAATGAAATGGGCATAGAGTGGAACTATATATATATATACACTATATATATATATATGTATATACTATATAAAGATATACACTATATATATATATTTATATATATATATACACTGTATACTATGTATATATATATAGTATATATATATAGTATATATATATATAGTATGTATACAAATTTGTATATATTTGGGTGGGATTGTAATTCTGCGAGATAGAATGGAGATTTAGCTGCCAACATGGTGACATACTACCCCAAACAGCAGGGTATGTAAATGTACCAGGGATGTCGTGAAGAATTGGCTGGAAGCCATGAGAATGCGTCAAGATGGGGATATTACAGTTCTGAAACCATGCGTTGAAAGAAATTGACACATGGTTATTATTTGTGTGTGTATATGTATATACAGTATGACATGGGTAAATTTGTAGTGGATACACAGAAGCACACACACATATATATATATACACATGCTATGTATATTAATGTCATTACAATTGTGTATGACAATATGATATGACATATCAATATGGATAAAATGGGACAGGGCTCCCAGTACTTCCGACGGGCCCATGAACCGTCCCCGCAAACTTCAGAAACTGGGGATATCCCACATACAATTCAGTTTTTCTAAATAGATAATTATATATACATACTGTTGTTATTATTATTGTACACATTTAGAAGTGGAATTAGATTTCCAAGTGGTGAATCTAGTTTCAGCTTTGCGACATTTGCTGATTTGCCCAGAAGCATGAATGATAGGAGGTATGGTCAATCAATTGGGGTGCAACCTATCAATGACAGTAGTATAGCATACCCGCCCACCAAATTCATGAGGAAGACTGATGATATTCTGGAAAACAAGATTACATATGTGTTCCCTTCAACTGGCATTTCTCTTGGTTTTGTGGCTTTGTTTTGGAGCTCCATCTAGGTGTTTCTTTAAATGGCCTTTTTTATTGGCAAACACACGGTTTTGCCTTATTACCCTGCTTTTGAGAAGCATCCGTATCCCCATAAATTCCATGTAAAATCCTATTGTATTCCCTTTTAAAATCCCATGTTGGATGGTTGTAATTCCATTCTGGAACAGGTCACAAATATATTCCGCCAGAACTATAGGCCCAAACATGGATAGCTACTACAAAGGACAAATTCTCTGGGTCCATTGGTATCCATTTTTGATCCATCTTTTTCCACCCAAAAAACAATGGATGCTTAGTTAATCCCATCTTCTATCAAATTTCATTCATGCTTGTAGCACCCAAAAAGTGATAAGAACACATTCAAATCCCAGCTACAAAAAGGCGATTCATCACTTTTCCAATCTTTTCCATCTTTTTAGGGCGTTCTAAAAAACATCATACAAATCCCAATCCTATCACTTTTCTTGGATGGGATTTTCTATGTTCATCTATTCCCAATGGTTTTTCCCAATGGTTTTCCCGGAACGACTCAACGGGAGATCCCAAACTTGAAGGTCCGTGGCCAGCGCCTCAGCGGCTGCCATGATCTTGTACACCTCAGCGGCGGCCAGCACCTCGCTGCTCGGACGAAACAGATGATGTTTTTTTGGATACCTTCTGGTAAACTAACATAACTATGGAAAATCACCATTTTCAATGGGTAAATCCACTATAAACTGCCATTTTCAATAGCTATGTTAGTTTACCAGAGGGTACTAGCAGGATATACAATGATATACATCTTTTTCCAGGATATATAATCCCAGCTAATTTATATAATATTGTTTTTTTGATGGTCAATTTATGTTTGTTTTGCCGGGAATGGTTATTAAATGTGATGAACATTTATGAAGCTATTTTCATGGGTTGATGAAACCTGCCAAAACGGTCCTTCTTACATTCTTAAACCATGATTGTGGGCTCGTAAAAGGTATGTATTTGGATTTTTGACGTTCGCCCTCAGAATAAAAAGCACTGCACGACTAGTTCGTGGTGAACATCTTCAATGGAGTGAACCACCTAGTCCCAACTGGCCTAGTCCTTTAAATATTGCCTTCTACATCAAAAACCATTATATCTAACATGCCATTAGGCATCATATTGCATCACAATACCTATCATTCTCGGAACACCAATCTCATATTACATCATCCTTGACCCATCCCCAGATTTATCTCAATATCCCAAGCCATCCCAAGCCATAAATCCAGGGCTCCGGATTTTCCCAGGTTTCTGGTCTTTGGTTTGCTGCACCCATACTACGGCGCCATTTTTTTCTGTCTGGGCGTCGTTTGCACAGCTCTGGGCCAATACGTGGTGGGACGGTGCCCAGGATGGCAGTTGGACGCCTGGAAAAGATATGTATTAAGCTGGTTAGTAGTGGTGGTTTTTCTAGTGGTTAGTAATGGTTGGTAATGGTTGATGGATAATGTTTAATCATCTATATCTGATTGGTGGTTTGGAACAGGGTCAATTTGATTAAGCTGGGTCAATTTGATCACGACCTCAGTTGATCTCAGTTTGTGAACTTGAAAATGGCCCATAGAAATAGTGGATTTAGCCATTGAAAATGGTGATTGATGAATCATAGCTTTACTGGTTGGTGGTTTGGAACCATGGAATTTTATGACTTTCCATTTCATATATGGGATGTCATTCAACCCCATTGACGAACTCCATCATGTTTCAAGATGGTTTTTTAACCACCAACCAGATTAAGCCGGGTCAATTTGATCACGACCTCACGTCGTTCTCCGGAAACCTGATGGGAATTGGATGGGAATCATCCCCATAGATGGCCGCAAGTTTCAGGTTAGTGACATGTTATAATTTCCTCAGATTAAGGTTAGTCTCACATGGGTCACCAAATCATGACTCTAAGCAGCGATTCCTACCACTTGGAAACGTTTCTGGGCATCTTTCTTGGGATGGCGATGTACTATGAAAAACTGCGGCATCTGATCATAATCCACTTGCACTTCTCCACAGTCATTAAATTTATATGTGCATAATATATAGATATATTTATATATATATATATATCCATATTCAATTTCGATGACATTTTGTAAGCGTGTGATGATTATTCTATACGAGCAATAGTTACCTACCATTCCCTGCGGATCTATATTATGTACCTTCTGGTTGTGATTTTCTGTGGGGTAGGGTTGGAGCCACAGGGATGATATTCAATATATCAATGTGTCTTGGTACATCAAAATCTATCTGTGTAAAACAAAAATGACCTCACCATAGATGATGGTTAGTACAATGTGGGGCCCCCGAACGATAGCTAAGTTGGTTTGTAACTCCAACAACTATGGTTTATGATACTTGCAACTATGGTTAAGGGGGCTTATAAGATCATTGTGGGATCCCACATTGTAGGGGAAATCACCCCCAAATGGCCGGAACATATGGTCTGGGAAGCATTATGTTTTCCCCATGTAAAACACACACACACATATATATATATATACTCTCGCAACAGATAGAAAAGTGAAACCCGATTAAAACTGCGATGTACTTTTCATTACTTTTCTATCTTTATGGTGGTTACTCTATCTTTATGGTGGCTACTCTCTCTCTCTCTCTATATATATAGTAATATAGACATGTCCTGAATTTTAGGTAACAGTGAATGAGATTGAAGAGTCTTCCAGTCCCAAGCCCCCATACACTCACCTTAGAGCCTGGTCTTAGATATATCCCCTAGCAATCGCTGGCAGCAAGACTGATAAATAAGGGGTGTTTGCATCATGTTTTCAAACATAGTGATCATACAGTACTATTTACATACAATAATATATATCTATATGTATCTACACCAACAATAATATCAAAAAAGCGTTATATAGAGGAAGTGGGACGACACGCATGTTAATATTTGTTGTAGGTCATAAACATGCTCTTGAAGAACTTGAAGAACTTAACGGTCCCATTTCTCATGTAAATCGCATTAGATACCCACCTTGAGGGATGGTCATACCAAAACTCATTCAGGTGGGATGACCATGGGATGACCATAGGTGATGACTTGGGGATGGTTTCTGACAAGTTTACCACATTAATTAGTTGGATTGGTTTAAGGGAAAACCTTATTGATTAACCGGAAATCATGTTTTTTACCATTGAATATATAGGGGTTTCCTGTTAAATTTCCCCTAACCCTATCCAATGAACACTAGTAACCCATGTAACTTGACCATGTCGCCAAGAAACCACAGGTGGGTTCATAAGCAAAACCGCCAGAGCCCCATCGTGCTTTCCATTGGCACGGCTGCTTGGTCGCTTTCGGCGATGACGGGTCGACTGGGTTGGCCAATGACTTCTAGCATTTTTCCCCAAACAGTGTGGCCACACTGGGGGGTTCGTACGGTAATGGTTAAGGCCCGGTGTTCAATCGAGGTGGTATCCGGGGCGTCCGGCATTTTCCTGAAAATTTCCGCACAAAATGGCTCTTGTGAAATGCCCATGTGCATTTTCGACTGCGCAGGCTCGCACAAAATGAGTGTCGCGGAGGTGTCCCCGGCCATTTTTACTGTAAATTTCCACACGAAATGGCTCTTGTGAGATCGCCCTTGCAACCCTCTCGTCGCTTTGGGCCTGTCAGATCGCTCTCGCTGTGGCGCGGTGCTCATTTTGAGATGCCTCGCGCAACCCTTTCATCACTTTGGGCCTGTCTGATCTCTCTCGTTGTGGCGCGGTGCTCATTTTCATTGTCAAGGAGATCTTGTGCAGAGATCTTGACACGGAGGTCTCTTCTAGAGAGCTTGCGCAGAGATCTTGTACAGAGAGCTCTTATAGAGATCTTGTACAGAGATCTTGCCAAGAGATCTCTTATAGACAGCTTGTACAGAGATCTCTTCAAGAGTCTTGCCAAGAGACCCCTTATAGATTTGTACACAGATCTTGCCAGGCCACCGCTTCTGGAGATCTTGTACCGAGACATTGCGTAGAGATCTGTTGCAGAGATCTTGCCAAGAGGTCTCTTACATAAATCTTGCCAAGAGAGCTCTTATAGAGATCTTGTACAGACATCTTGCCAGGAGACCTCTTTTAGAGATCTTGTACAGAGATTTGGTGCACAGAGCAGAGGTATTGCTCGGTCGGAGATCTTTTTTACATAGCGTGAGCAGGGATCTTACTTTGAGATCCTTACAAAGATCTTTTGTGGAGATCTCCTATAGACACCTTTTACAGATAGCCTGCGCAGGAATCTTCCACAGCAGCTTCTACAGAGAACCTCTCAAGGAGATCTTGCGCACGATCTTCTACAGAGATTTTCACAAAGGGACCTTGCAGAATCTTACCTGGTACCCCTTCTTAAGGGTACCGCCTTGACTGAACACCATGCTTTCACTACTAGGGTCGCTACTGGGTCCTTTCCACCTTTCCCTTTAAAATCCTCACTCCACACTGTTTGGGGTCTCTTGCTGGGATAATTTTGGATTTAATTGTCTTCCAAATTCGGGGCACCCATCAGGAAACTAACATCACAATGGTATAGATGTCCCATTTGTGGATGATTTATTTATAAACTTAAAAACGATAGGCACGCAATCTTGACCCATATCTAATTGTAAATTTATGGCAGTCTCAAATCGTCAGATTGTCCTTTGAAAAATCTGGAATTTTCTTCGGCCTTGGGGTTTTCCAGGTGCCATTCACGGCATGATGATCTCACATGGGGCCAACTTCGCGATCGCAAAGGGGGGCCCCACAGAAAGTCGGGTTGGAGTAGAACATGTTGAACATTGACCACCAGTTGACCATGGACATTCGTTTTTTTTCTACAAAAAAGAATTGTTTGGGGGTAAGGCGGGGCCCCTGTTTACGATAACCAAGTTGATTTATAACTCCAGCATAACATAACATAACTATAGTTTATGGGGATATGGCTATGAATCAATACCTATAAATACATATAAATACCATTTAAAAGGGGATGGACATCCATTTGCCAGCTATTTTGGTGTTCATCAGGGGTGCAGGGTTTTGACCCATATCCATATAACTACAGTTACTGGGATTTACCAAACAGCAAACATAACGTTTGGCGGCCCCCAGTACCTGTGACCCAAGCTGGATAAAAAATGATCCCTGCGATTTTTTCCTCCAGTATTACGCGACCAAAAAGATGCCGAAGAGTGGAACGTCCCGGAAAATATGTATTAAGAGATGTATTAGATATCATTGAACTAACCTCAAGGTTGCACACTTTTCGGCATCTTACTATTGGGGATGGCTAGAAGCTAACGTAGCATAGCTGTGGAAATCATGAATTGGGTGTTCAATCGGAAATGACCTGCAAAAACGGTTTGGTTGATGGTTGCACCATATTTTCCATTGTCGTCTGTTGTCAACCCGCTGTTTCTGGAAATTCAACGAAATGGCTACCATTTATCAACTTTGGGATGGGTGGATGCAATGAACCAAATGTTCTCGGTTTACCTGGATTAACCCTTACAATCACCCAACGTGTAGTGGTGTCTTTGAAGACTGTCCCAAAACTGCCTTTGTGGTGAAATGCGAGCTTATACTACCTGAAATCCACTTGATTTATCAGTGATAGCAGACTTTGTGTACAGATGACATAGGTGGTATTTTGTAAACAAAAACGTATAGATATAATGTATACATGTATACATACAATGTATGAAAAAATATACATAGACATATTCATATACATGTACATACACATAACATGCATATATTATACATATATAGATACATGCACATGCACACACACACACACTCATATTATACATTCTTATGATAACCCAATCTGAGGCCGGGATTTTTCACAACTCAGGTGATCCTGCTCTCCTCGGTTTTCGTCTTGGAGCTTTGACTGTGTCAGGGTGTGATGGGAGAGATGTCCATTAAGACTGGATGTTTTTGTGGGATTTTGGGGATTTATCCAGATGAAATGGGATTTAAGAGGGATTTTTAATAGTGTATACATAACTGGTTGGTGGTTTGGGACATTTTTTATTTTTCCATATATTGGGAATGTCATAATCCCAACTGAATTTCATATTTTTCAGAGGGGTAGGTATACCACCAACCAGATAATATATAGAATCGATATGGTGGATTTATATGGGAGAGATGGGGTTTCACCAACAGTGGGGATTTAATCATAAGCTTTTGTGGGATTTTTGATAGGGGATTCAACATGACATGGAAAATCGATCCATGAAAGATGGGGATTACATGGGATCTAGACGAGATGAATCAAGGTATAAAGCCACTTTATGGTGATTTTCTATGAGATATTTGAGCAAACTATGGGATAACATAGGGATTAACCAGCAAAATCGCGATTTCACAAGCAAGGAAGATATTGAAACATGGGACATCTCGGATTGACGAGCCAGTCTGTGGTGATTCAGCCAGGAAAAGTGGTGGTACAGTATATATTTTCGTGATATAACCAAGAACATGTTGGGAAAATGACGGGGGCAGAAAAAAAGAAAGATATGACCATGCAAGACAGGATTTTTGTCAAGGATATTGAAACACCCATTTTTGTGTTTTGGTTACACACGATGCAGGGAAGATCACGAGAAACCGTACGATTTGGGGTGGTGACCAACTTTTGGAAGAACCCACAAAAGATGCCCATATGTTCCCTGTGGTTGGTATATTTACGAACATATTTTCATCCAAATTCATACAAGTCGGGGTTTGATGATGATGATGATGACGACGGCGGCGAAGGGCGGCGATGGCGATGGCGATGTGATGGTCAGAAGCATATTCATATCGGATTAACAAACCCTTGTTGATTCATGGGGGTTTGTCCGGTTTGATACATGACATGATTGACTTGGACAGTGGCTAGTGGGATCGTGTTGCACCCCGAAGTTTCTCTGGTAGCTATGGGAAATCCCCTATAAATGCAGGTTTCTAGCTGGGAAAATAATCTACATATGGTATTGGTATAGATGGCCCATTTAATTTATAGATGATAAAAAGTGATGATTTACCGGACTGGAAAATGGTGATGTTCCAGTTCGCAATCCGTTAAATATCCAGAGGATGACCTTGACAAAAACCTCCCCCAAAAATATGGAGAGTGTGACTAAATAGGGGCCCAATTTTTCCACGTAAAGCATGTGTTTTTTACTGATTTAGAGTTGTGTATAAGTATTATATGTATTCCGTCACGCTCTCCATGTTTCATCTTTTAGACTAGCAACAAATCATATATATATATATATATAATAAATATACGTATATATATATATATATATATACGATTCATGTGATATTAGAATGCTATGACCCCAATCCTCCATACAGATTTTGATTCTGTAAAGTGCATATGGAACAGTATAGAAGGGCTAGAGTTATGATCCAAGTCCTCCAGATAGATTTTGAGAATGTAAAGTGTGTATATATATGTATGGATCTGGGGAGCTCCAGGGATCACCATCTCTGGGGATCCTTGCAAATCTCCACAAATTTGGAGTAATCTTTAGGGATTTTCAGATAGATTAGAGACAAAAAAAAAGATTTAGTACATATCTAGTATAGAGCTTCCAGAGGGGGGGTCGTTTTTTTTTTCGACCCGCCCCTCTCCAAGCTATGTACTACATGTAGTATTGGTTCTTAAAAAAAAACTAGATCTTTAGGTATCCCTAGAGATCTGATCTCCAGGAATCACCGGGGATCCTTGGGGATTCCTGCGAATCTAATCTCTGGGGATGGGATTTTCCAAGGCTAGATCGTCCTCGAGTAATTGTTCTTGCTTGTGCTATGTACACGATGGTCGCTCTTAGGCATTACAGTGCATGGTTGTGGCCATGGTCTTCAATGCTTGGGCTCGTCTTTGGCAAGAACAACACCAGGTAAGCTGTGGTTTTGCTGAGGTTATATTATGGACTGTGTTCTGTTTGTGGCGCTTTTCAGGAATTGCGGGGGTTGGCGAAGATGTTGAAAGACTACAACAGAAAGGGCGGGGGAGGCCCCGAAAACAACAAAAAGGGCAGAGGAGGCCCCCAAAAAGACGGCAAAGGGCACAAGGCCTAGAGCCGAAGTAAAGTATGATGAAGAGGCCAAAGCCTCTGATGCCTCGCGGCCCTGGTTGAGATAAAGATGTTGTCTCTACACAACATCCATGGTTTCGACATTCTGAAGTCAAGTTTGAGTAGTAAGGACCATTTCGGCTCATTTCGTGGCTGATATCCACATTGACTCTTTGGAAAATTCCCACGCAATGTTGCCAAAAAATGCGTGTTATTTCCACCGTGATTGTTTTGGGCTTAAACGGCTACTCTTCAGATCTTTCTTGGCTTAAGGTTTGAAGAAAAACCACATCTGATGAAATTGTAATGAGATTCATAGAGTCACAGCCGGATAGATAGACAGCCCATCAAGCGACAACAAGAACCCAAAAATTGAACAACTATTCAAAACGATAAGCTGCAGTCATAGTGCATCTTTGTGGATCATTTACAGATTTACTTCTTGCCGTCGCCTGCATTTTGCAAGACGCAATGAGCTCAGCACAGCATGTTCCAGCCACATGCTTATGTTGCGAAAATTCTTGCCTTAGAATTGTCGCATTAAGGACATGGGTCCAGGCTACGTTCGCAAAGTTCTCAAGGCTTGGGCGATGAGACTGCAATTCCATTTGTCACAGGTGTGTCAGGTGAACCGCAGGCTCCGGTGGTACCAAGGATTGTGTGGGATGAGTCGAGAAGACGCTCTTTTCAAGGCCCGATTGTATAGTAGTATTAGATTCTTGTCTTGTTTGAATGACACTTCAAGTTAATGCCTGATAGCTCCTTGTTGATCCTGTGGGGCTTGGCGGTGCTATATTTGCTTTGGGGACGATATGGCAGTGCGCATTGTCGGGATGAAGCCAAGGCCAGTTGTATATTCTATGTTGAGATTGAAAATAAGTAGCAAACTTTGGAATGAAGATCGGTGCAGGTTTCACTATCGGTTCTGACCGCTTACGTGGCTAAGGCGGGGACAATATAATGAGCTCTGTTTTTGAATGGACGGGTCATCTTTGCCATGTGTGGATAGCATGTGAAATTCGGTTGTAGGCCTTTATCTTGACGAAGGGCACCGGGGTGCAGATGGCGTGGTTTTAGCCTAAGCTTTCGTCTGCATTATTAAAATGTCACTCAAGATGTAACGGGTCTTGTTGTGTCTGCTTCTTGCCGTGGCTTTGAGGTCGGCTGCTCTTCGAATTTTGACACATACAATCGATGGAAAAAACATGGCCGGGCTCCCAGATTTCGATTCGCAAGGAAGCGGTTGCAGAGGGCAAGCTTGTTGAAGCAAAAAAAGAAGTCGTTATTGTCTGCCAGGACATGAAAAAAGAGATTAATCCGTGAACATTATTTTTTTCATATTCCCCACGCGCCTGGGGCATGGCTGTAGCTGCCGCTGTTGAGTGAGCTTAGAGATGATTTCACAAGACATGTTCTACACTTGAACTGAATAAAACGAAAACATGCGATGATCTCGAAGCATCATCGGGAGTCGCAAATTTGAGGCGCGACAGAACAGGGTATGTTTTTGAAGTGTCCTCATGCAGCTAAAAAAAGTTGTTTTCCTTGGCGGGAAGTGTTTTTCAAAGTAGGTTTTTCGATCCCTTCTCCGTGCATTGCCTTTGGGATTCTCTCTGCTTCATGTTGCACTTTGCATCGCTGGATCATATCCTAGAGTGATGAAGTCAATTCAAAAAAATCCTCCCCGCAAGAGACCCCAAACAGTGTGGGGCGGGGTGGTCGGAAAATGTGTGATAATTTTGATAATAATAACGATGATGATGATGGTGATGATCATGAGGATGATAACGTGGGGGATGATGGTGTAGATGATGAAGAAGTTGAGAATGATGATTTTGAGGAGGATGATGTTGAGGATGATGATGTTGAGGAGGATGAGGATGAGGATGGCAATGCGGCAGAGAAAGTGGAGGGTGATACGGCGGATGATGATTATTATGATGATGATGATGACGATGATGATGATGATGATGATGAGGATGGACATGTTGCGGACGATAATGTTGGGGATGATGGTGTTGCGGAAGATGAAGTGGAGGATGAGAAGGTGTAGGGTGATGTTCGGGATGATGATCGTGAAGGGGATAAGGATGAGGATGATAATGCGGAAGATCAAGTTGAGGATAATAAGGTGGACGATGGCTTTCTGCTGAGAAGGAAGAGCAGAATGATGTTGAATAAGTTGAAATTGCTAATGTTGAGGAGGACGATGAAAAGGATGATGTCGTTACGCAAGATGAGGTGCAGATGCATGATGTTGCGGAAGATGAGATGGAGGAGAGGATGTCGGAGAGGGGGAAGACTATGAGGTTGCGCATGATGATGTTGAGGTGAAGGAAGAGGGTGATATTGAGGATGATGAGGTGTAGGATCATGATGTTGAGGATGGTGATGAGGAGGAGGATGATGTTGAGGATGATGATGGCAAGGGGGAGAAGAGAACAATATTGAAACGCATGGTATTATGAAGACAATTATACGGATGAAGCTGCCCCATCCTAGCACTAGACATCCATGCGAAAAATGGAAATGCTTCCGTTCGAAAGATGAAAATGGAAAGGAAGGGCGGAAGGGCAACCTAGAAATCGATCGAGCTTTGATTTGGAAACGAGCTTATTTTGATGAAGAAAATTACATACCAGACATAGAAATTGTTTTTTGTATGCAACAGATATAGAAAGATATAGATAGAATTTAATAATTTAAGTCATATCGTTGTTTTACCATGATGAAAAATTTAAATATTGGTAATATTGATTCATTATGTCAAGCACAGAAATGATTGAAACCAACCGCATCTTTTTTCTACAATTGAAACCGGCTCCATGTTTGCCATTGCAGACTTCCAAATAACTGACATCGGCCCCATGCCTTTGATATTTTAAAGTGATTGAAATTGATGCTTTAATATTACCCCAACGAACATACGAATATCATAATATGGCAAATATTGCGATCAATGCAAAAAAACGTGATACAAATAAAGAAATGACAATCCAATATTTTGCTATGAAAACCAAATACGCATGGTGAAAACATAACTTCATCACTCTGCCCTGACGGATCTGCTTCTTGTGGATTTATGATCTGCCTTTTGTGAGTCTATGGATAGTCTCTTGTGGATTTATTTTAACTGCCTCTTGTGTGTTTACATTCTTCTTTTGTGGATGTATAGTTTTCTTTCCATTTTTTCTGATCTATTTTTTCATGCGTTGGGTAACCCGGCGGGCTTATGATTTCACCTTTGGTTTAGGTTTCTGGCCTCCACAATGCGGAACAAGAGCCAACCCAAAAACATCAACCTTTGAAAGCAACGCGTTTTTTTAAATTCGTTTTGTTCTTCAAAATTTGGAGGCCTTTTGAGTTCTTGATCTGCCTCATGTGGGTTTATAGCCTGTATAGAGTATGATACAAAGGAACGCATTCAAAGTCTACAAAATAGATGATCACATATGATATAATTACAGAAAAAAACTGCATTTTCAGAAACGTAGCAAAATGGGGCCCGTATCTGGTCATTTTCTCAAAATATGACCCTCTGGTAAACTACCATTTTGCCATGGAAAGGCCATAGGACTAGTAGGCAATTAAATCATCTACAAATGGGGCCATTTTCCATGTCAAAGAGTAAAAATCTAAAAGGATGTCCTGCACCTGGGGCCTTTTGCATTCCGGAGGGAAAGGGGTGAGTGAGATTTTCATTTTGGAAACAGATACCCTCCGGTAAACTAACATAGCTATGGAAAATGGTCCATGTACCGACGATTTAGCTATATTTATATACCAATAACCATGAAAAATTGTACATTTCCAAGGGATTTCCCTATATTATCCTGTATTTACCTTTAAAAATCGTGATTTTCTATGGCCATGTTAAATAACCGTAGGGTCATCGCCATGGGAAAATTTGTTGAAACCATGTCTCTTCTCGTCGCTGAGATCAACACCGTGGTGCTCTCCGAGGGCAAAAGCCATGCGGAGCTCTTTGCCTTTCACGGCGTCTGCGACAACACGGCGTAGGTTCCATGCGCCATCTGCCCCCGCAGAACATGATGTTTTTTGCTGGTTGGTGGTTTGGAACATTTTTTATTTTTCTATATATTGGGAATGTCATCATCCCAACTGACTTTCATATTCTTCAGAGGGGTGGCTCAACCACCAACCAGTTTGTGTCTGAAAATATTGGGAAAATTATGATGAACCACTGGGGGGTGCCACAGACAAACCCAACAGTGTTTTTATCTGAAAATGGGGTAACCCGGCGTCAAAACTATCGGCAAATCGCCTATGAATTCACCAGTGGAAAATCATGGAGTGTAACTTTCGAGTTTCCCCAAAGGATTATATGGGGGGTTTCCTGAAATAGGGGTATCCCCAAATCATCAATTTATGTTTGTTATTTTCCATTATAAACCATCCAGCTACGGGGGTACCACCATTTATGGAAACCCCTATATAAAACATGTGAAAACCGACAGTTCCCGATCAGACAGGAAAATGCACCTGGGTATATCATGATATATCCCATCGTCAGACGCAACCACAGATTTGCGTAGTGTGCGTAGTGCTGTCGGGATGATTCAGGCTTGTCTGCTAGGACGGAATATAATCTATACCTTCCAGTAAACAGGATGTACCACTGATGATATATAACCATCCTCAAACAGAAAGAATATGGCATTTTCAAAGATATTCACGTGTTAGTGAGGATTTGTTGAAATTTCGATATTCTATCTACTCCAGGATTACTGTATATATATATATATATATATCTGTGTAAATTATAACGACCTCACTGTTCTCCCTCAATCCCCAAATGGCCCAACATCTCAGGTTAGTGAAATATTATAATTTATCAAGATATATCCGGAAATCCAAGAGTGGTGCATCATGGTCGGGGGGTCGCTTGGAACCACGGGATTTGGTTCGCTTAGAACCGCGCAATTTGGATCGCTTAGAACCGCCCTGGAATCATCATCACCATCGCCACCATCATCATCATCATCACCATCATCATCATCATCATCATCATCATCATCACCATCACCATCATCATCACCACCATCATCATCGTCATCATCATCATCATCATCACCATCATCATCAAAATCACTGTCGTCATCATCATCATCATCACCATCATCATCATCATCATCATCACCGTCATCGTCATCATGATCATCATCGTCATCATGTTCATGTTCATGTTCATGTTCAGGTTCATGTTCAAAGTTCATGTTCATGTTCATGTTCATGATCGTCGCCATCATCATCATCATCATCACCATCATCATTATCATCGTCATCATCATCATCATCATAGCCATCATCATAACCATCATAATCATCATAATCATCATCAATGACATCAATAACCGAAACATGTCTGTTCTGAACCGAAGGTTCATATGGTTTTCTTGTTTGGTTGACAAAGCGGCCCTTGCTTCTTGTAAAGAATCTATGTGTCTTGCTTCTTCTGTTTTGCTCTGCTGTCCTTCTGCTACTTTGTTTGGCTATCCACTTCTTTGCGTGCCACTGCCACCTCTCTCGCGGCCTGACGTTCTGTGTATGCTTGTGATTGGTGTAGCGTTGCGTGCGCAAACGTGAGCGATTTGATTGGAATCTATTTGTTCCCAAAACCAATTTTACTTTTAGGTTTATTTCAAATCCCGCCCCACCCCACCGGTAACTGATCATGAAAGAGCAGTGCAGTGCCTGTGTCTGCAGGACAGCAAGAAAGATGATGAGGTTGCTGTGCCTGTGTGTGCACAGGAACATGAACGTTATTACCCCACCCCACCCCCCACCCCCCGACCCCACCGGCAACTGATCATGAAAGAGCAGTGCCTGTGTCTGCAGGACAGCAAAGATGATGAGGTGGACACACGGGCACATGAACGTTATTACCCCACCCCACCGGTAACTGATCATGAAAGGGCAGTGCAGTGCCTGTGTCTGCAGGACAGCAAGAAAGATGATGAGGTTGCTGTGCCTGTGTGTGCACAGGAGCATGAATGTTATTACCCCACCCCACCCCACCCCACGTGTCCCAGCCCCATGTCCCCACTTGTCCCCTAAGCCGGGCCTACCCCATGTCCCGGCCCCGTGTCCCCAAGTGTTACCCTAAAGGTCTCATTCCACCATGCTGGATATAGCAGCCTCCACCATCAACATCTGGACTGGTGGTTCTGCTGATCAAATTTGTGTGGTTCTAAGTGATCCAGCCCAATCCTTTGGTTCTAACAGTGATCCCCCAACCGTGTATCATTTCCGCCCGGGAAACGCATGGATTTCCATCTTAGTTCACTGGGGGGTATTAATACTTTTATCTATATTGTATCTAATAGACATAACATTACTTGTTGATTAATGGTGATTAATGATGATTAATGATGATTAATGGTATATTACTGGAGGGTAAATGATAGTTATAATTGCAAAATTTGACATAATGATACCGCAAACGTCATTATTAGATCAATGAAGGACATATGGAGGGTATTTGGTAACCTGTTTTAATTGACACATGGAAGATGATCAACAACATATATATATGTGATCACTTTGCCACTATGCATGGAAACTGAATGAACATTCGTTGAGGTGTACATGGGTTTGTTTTTTTGAACACATGATAGACATTAATTGTGCATTACACACACATACAATATAGATGTAAATACATTATATGTACATATGATTCAAATATACGTCTACATATGACACATGATAGGTGATATCAATCACTTTTATAGCTGGTCTGAACCCCCCCCGGCCGAAAGCACCAACTTGAACCCGCCTGGCGAACGAAGCTGGCGATGTGAACGGCAGAACAGACGTCGCTGGGAAAAGTGCTGCGTGAACTGAGTCAACTTTGGTTAGTCATCTCAATATATATATAGTTATAATAGTTATAATATAGTGGTTATCATAGATGTCCTTTTCCCATTGGTTGGTTGATTAATAGAGGGGTTTGTTTACCCCTTTAACAACAGGTAAATGATGATAGATGGTATACCAAACCGGCCCCTTTATTTTTACCAAAAGGACATTATTGGTGGTTATAATCGTGGTTATAATAATGGTTAGTCAACTTTGATATATAGTGGTTATAGTTTATAATCAATATTTGATACTTTGGGTTATAAACCGCTATATATTGCAATGAACCCACCAAGGCCCATCGAAGTAGAGTATGGCCCGAGATAGCAGGAATATTTTTACAGGATGGGCCCCCCCAGTTATGTTCGCTGGTTTATTTCATCCCATGAAACTAGTTCGTGAAATATCTACCATCAACCAGAGTTAATTCACCCACAACCATATCTCAACTGAACGCGAGCTCGACTGGAGGCCCCATCCTGTAGGGTTATGGTGATTTCAATGGGGTCAAAAACCATGGCTCCATGGGGTGAGCTGCGAAAAAGGAGTATTCATATTCCCTATGCGTGAGGCCCCAGCATTCCATTTCCTGCCACACCCATGAAAAGGAATACCCCCCGTGTCCCTTCGGGCTCCCGCCAAACCACGGAAACCCCTTGTCGCACGCGACAAAAATCCTCCCGGTGTCAAGTGCTCCATGGGCGGCAATCGGTATCTCTGAAGGACATTTTCCAGACAGTTCGCCATCTTCCACAATTTGGGCCCCCCCAGTAATTATAGTTATAAATACCATAAACCATAGTTATTGGACTTATTTCCACCAACTTAGCTATCGAACGGGGGCCTCACATTGCAACATCCTGGGCATTTCGTCGGCCGTGAAGAAATCGGCACCTTCAAGGACTGCATCCTGGACGCCACGCTGAGATGACGCAATCGCTCCAATCTCAAAAGGATGCCGCCCATGCCAGCGAACACCGTGAGCGACCGCACAGCAGCTGCCATCATGGGGACGTTTTCTCTGATCCCACCCTCTGGTCAAACATGGCTTGCTGGAAGATTATCCCATTTAGTTCCATTTAGAAACATATTGAAACTTCCACTGAACATTTTCCATGTTCTCCTATTCCTTTCCAACCGTTTTTCCATGTTTTTCCATATTGTCCTATGTTTCTTCGCGTGTTGCGGCTTGGGTCTCCGGCCCATGACGCGCAGCTAGGAGTTACTCACCGAGCGGCAGCGAGAGATGCAAGAAGATGTGGTGACGCTTGGAGGTTTTTGGAGAACAACCAAGTGTCATGATGATTACCCTCTGGTAATTTAACGTAGCTATTGAAAATGGCCATTAATAGTGGATTTTCCCATTAAAAATGGTGATTTTCCATAGCTATGTTAATTTACCAGAGGGTATAATTTAATGTGGGTAAAAGAATAAACCATCCCCCAAATCGCAATAAATAGGTGGTATAAACCCTTCCCAGATGGGTGGTGTATTATTGTTTTACCCACATTATAGGTAATGAATACTACCCAATATATCGGGGATTATAATACAATAGGGGAATCCCTATTGACCAACCAGTGTAATGGAATGACAGAGGGATTTACCAGTGATTTGGGTGTGTCTGAAAATAGAGAATACCTCTAAGTGGCTATTTCAAAAAAGGGAGAATGATTATCCAATGGATTTTGGGGTACAACACTATTTTCCAGACAAACCCAAGTGAAGAAGCAAAGTTCACCAAAGGGTCCGAGAAAGATACATGGGGATTTCTATGCATTAAAAAATAGGTATAAAGATTATTCCCATCCCCAAAGTTCGCATAGATCCTAAGCCTATTTCTGGTATCGGAAACATGGGATGAGTTTTAGTTCCCCATTGACCAGTTCATTTCTGGTTGGTGCTTTGGAACCATGGAATTTTATGACTTTCCAGAAACAGTTGGGAATGTCATTTCATCCCAACTGACGAACTCAATGATTTTTCAGAGGGGTAGGTATACCACCAACCAGATTTGATCTTTGCTGCTGACATAATTTTGACCCATCCCCATCTGACCTACAACTTGCTGTTCAACCAAAAAGGGCTTCAGCGACACGAGGCGGCTGTGAAACACAGACATGGACAGGACAGTCGC